TGTTCTCTCAGCTTTTCTGAATGGCAAACATTTTTCAAAGTATTAGTTTTTATTGTTTTAGAACTTGATTATTTTCTGCTTCCTCCTGCAATAATTTAGGCTCAACTGAAGTCTCTGTTGCTCATGTCTGTGTCCTCAGCAACTAGCAGAGTACCTGACACACTGCAGAGATGACCAATAAACTACTGTCTAACAGTTCAAACAGAAAAGAGAAAGTAAAAAGGGCCAGAACTATGGTGACAGCAGTTCGAGTGGGAAGATACAGCATGCCAAAGTTTTTCCAAAGAAATTTGGTGATTTGGACATAGAATAGCAATAAAAACCCCGGTGATGGGAGATCGCTGGAACCAATTGCACGACATTAAAAATATGCAGATTTGAGGAAAAATGAATCGTATTTTCCATCCCTGGATTACAGGGAGGAAGTAGGCCAATTTAGTGCAGAACTAAAACTTGACAAAAGTTTTAGAGCAATTTAGCCAGTGGGGATTGCTGAGGTTAGCAAAGTAAAAGGTTTTTCAAGAAAAATGAAGGACCTCATCCTCCCACTCTATGAGAAGCAGAAACTGAAAAATGACCTTCTTTGTATTACAAATCGTGCCATTCCAAAATTAAGTAATAGTTTTTAAGAGTCTAGAGTGGAGTCACAAATTAGCTACAGTAGTTTACCTGTAGATGACTTTGAACAGCTTAATTCTGGCCTGTTTAATAATTGTCAACATTTAAAAATCAGAAGCTACATAAAAATTCTGATTCTTTAATTCTTTCAAACATCAGGCAGATGGTCAACCTTGTCTTCGTTTTTACAGGTAGAACTGGATGAAGTTGAGTAAATGCTGCTGCTTTAAATGACTCCGATTCACTACCCAATTTGTCTCATTTGTGATATTCACCTGGCCCCTGTAGGTACTGAAGTTTGTGAATCCTGGTCTAGGGCATTATGTCAGCTTTAATGACAATGGTAAGAATAAAATCAGTAACAGCAATAATAGCAGACTGAGCACTTAGTGGCAGGCTCTGCTCTAAGTGTGCCAGAGATCACCCACCATTTGAGGGAGGTGCTATAATTGTACCATCGTACAGGTGAAAAGACTAAGAGGTTCAAAGATCTGCCTAAATGTAAACAGCCAGAAAGTGGTAATGGTGAGATGAGAAATCCAGTCAGACTTAATTTGCACTTGCCAAATAGTATTCAAATTTAATGGTACTAAAGTTACTCAATATGAAATCTGGGTCTTTTCCTAAAAGCAAATACCTACCTTCACTTCAGCCACAGGAACTTGCACTCTTTTCTGCAGTATATACACGAACATGCACACCTGGGTAGTTATCTCATTGCTTCTTCTACCTGTGTCTATGATAATCTGAGATGAACTCAATAGTCTAGTTTCTCACCATAAATCATGAACTTTAGGTGGCCGGACGAGAATGTGGGAGTGGTAGAGACTTTTCTTCATTTTTATGTCTAGTAAACATAAAATGCATAGATACAACTAATCAACTGAAGAAACTTAAGTTCTAATTGGAGATATGCAACAGCCTCAGGTTTTTAATGAGATTTAGCAACATGTGGGTGAGTATAAATGGAAGTTGTAGACCATATTCAAGGCTCAGGGGACACAAGAGATGAGAGTCAGAAACACCATTTGGAGATGTTTCAGTGAGTGTTTCAAAGTGTACAATGTGAAAAATGTCCATGTTAAGGGAACAGGTTTCCAAGATGTCACAGTGGGCACTCTGAGTTCTCTGCTAAAGTATCAGTGGGTGTTAAAGTTTGCTTGGCTGAAGAAACATTGTGAAATATACAGGGAACAGAATGAAGGAACTTGAAAGATCAGACAGAAAGGACATTTGACTACACTGGAAAAAGTGAGAATTGGATTGGAAAACAAAAGCATCAGGGTTCTGAAAAAAAAAATCTATGGGGAAGATTTAATCTGCTAATATATGAATATTTTTGTGGGGAGGGATACATAAAAGTTACACCAAAATGAAAATGGTGTAAACAAAGTAACTCAAGAATAAAAACTGCACTCATAACTAGCATGGATAACCAAAACCTTTGTTTCTGGAAACACATTTGAGAAATGTGAAGTAGCAGTGTAAGACGCAGGAAGCAGATTGCTTGAGCTAAAAGGATATGTACATCTGGGAAACAGGTACTATGATAGAAATGATGGATAATTACTGTGTCACACCTTGACTCCAGAAAAATCAATTCATTTTGCTGTGTTGGTATTTTAACACACATTTTTTAAAACTACAAATGGCATTACAGATGGAATGAAGCAATCATAATGAACCAGTTGATGAGCCTGAATTTTCTTTCAAATCTTTGCTGTATGCTGTGAAAAAACTGTTGAATGCACATTCTGTGTTACATGCTATTCTAGGCCCTTTGACTTCATTATTTCATATAATTTTCACTACAACTGTGTAAGGTAGACACAAGTATTTTTAAGATGAATCAGAAGGTCAGAAAAGTGAAATAACTTGCCTAAGTTCACACACCTGCTAGGAGACACAGCTGATTCTCAAATCCTCTCTGAGTTTAATGCATCCTCCAGTTATGCTTTGGAATGAAGATTGGAGTTAAATCCTATTACTTACCAACTTTGTGGCCTGAGCCTAATTAGTCTCCTTGGACTTCAGTCTCCTCTTCTGTGATGTGGGAAGACAATACCAATTCTCATGGGGTTGTTTTGAAAGAATTAAATTCATTGATCTGTTCATTTATCTATTCAAATGACAGATCATCGAATGAGGGAAGTAAAGAAATGCATGAGCGGGGACTGGTAACTGATTATAACGAAGTCAATGGATCGGAAGGTTTGCTGAGGTGAAAGGACTTCTAGAATAACAGTACTAAAGCAGGTGAAGTCGATGGGCAGTTGCCAAAGTATGATGCTTCATGGAGGGATTTCAGAGATGGTATGATTTGAAAGTCAACCTAAAGGGATGACAATGGGAGCAGGTAGCTAGGGATATAGAATTAGAACTTTGGAAGCAAGGAAATTGAGAGGCTGAAAAGGAATGGGCATGCAAAATATCTAGAACACAGTTGATTCTTAAAAAATGCTACCTCTAAAAATAGTGTAAAAATATAGAAACAGCAACATGTTTCTTGTTTACACATTAAATAGATGAGGGTGAAAAGTCTGCCTGAGTAGCAGACAGTACATGTGAATACATCACAGTTGATGCTGTAGAAATGCATTCTGAAGGCAGAACAAGATAGTTCCTCAATCCATCTTCTAGTCTCTACTTCTGATATGACTCACTTAAAATACTTCTGCTAGAGGGAGTTAGGCATTAATTGCTTGTAGAAGAGAATATAAAGTAGTGAGGAGCACACACACACAGAAGACAAAACACAAATTAAGTAGAATAGGAAATGTTAACAAAAATTTCCAGGCTATTTGCTATCAAAAAACATTTGTATCTCAGCTATTCCTTCTGCCTATAAGGTTCTTCCCAAGAAATCCACATGTCTCAAGTACTCACTCTGTTCAGGTATCTGGGCAAACATCACCTCATCAGAGAACTGCTCTGACCTTCTATACACCCAGTCTCCCAATCACTCAGTCTTGCCTTTCTCTGCTTTACTTCATAGCACTTATCACTTCTAGATATATCACATATTTATTTATTGTCTTTACCATCTCCTTCCCCTGAACTATAAGCCCCAAAGCGTAGAAACTCTGTTTACAGTTTTATTTCTAGTACCTAAAACAAACCTGAGCAAATAGTAAAAGCTTAATACATATTAATAACATTAAAAAAGAATCTAACTACTCTAAGGTCTTAAGTACTTAATAAAAAGAATGGGTTCCCATATTTACATGTAAAAGTCATGAACTAAGGTTTAAGTGAAAAAAGTAATTTAAAATTCCTAGTCTACTACTTTTTCCTTTTTACCACCCCCGAAGATGAGGGTTCAAGTAAAAAAATAAATTATTTCCCTTAGGGCTAACGGCCTACATGTTTGTTAAATCCAATCTCCTCAGCTTGTAGTTCTGTGGAATGCACTATGTCTATGATAGTCCCCTTCTGATGATAGCAAATTTTAACCACCACAAAGGGAGAAAAATACTAAAAAGAATTTATCTAAGTTATCTCATTCAAATGAATGCTTTTTGTGAGTTGGTGGGGAGAAGGCGAGGATATTTAATTACATAAATTTTATTGTTACTTATAGTCAAGTTAAAAAACAAAAATAGGAAACATTTTGAATCAGCATATGCCCAAAAACTAAACATTAAAATAGCGGCCTCAGTATTCCTGAAACCAAACATTGGCTAAAACAAACTATATGCACCTTTAAGGTGAGCAAGCACAAGTCTACATTTAGCAAGTAAGGTCAAATGTTTGCCAGCAAGTCTAAGATCTCAGAGGCAATATTTATTTCAAAAGTAATAAATAATATGGTCATAGTAATTAATCGGTGACAGTTACAATGATGGAAACCCTTAAAATTCGTATAAAAAAACAAATTACAGTTAGGCTGCTTGCGTATCTCACAACCGTTAAGTTTTCCAATGATCTATTAATCAAAATTAAAAATTAAATACATATTAATTCATCAAGAGTGACAAAACTTCAAGGCCGAGAAAAATGTACTAATCATAAAGAATTTCATTTAAATGATATCAAGCAGTCCAGAAAGAAGAAATGTTGCCTGTGGGAGTAGTCCTAATTATAAATAACTGTGTATTGGTTTAAAGACTAACATACACCTAGCTTTACCAACACTTGTGAACAAATTACACATTACTTACTTTGTTCAAAGCCTAATATGAAAACTGTAATAAATCCTCTGGTTTAAAAAAGTGACCACTTGAAAAAGATTCATGACATCTCATTAGCAAAGCAAAAATGTTAAACTGAGAAGGTTCACCTGTTTCGGTCTTCAGTTAGAAATAAAAAAGCACTAATAATTCACTATAACAGCTTCTCAAACAATTCAAAAAAAATTTTGTCAATTAAAAAAAATGACTGAATCAATGAGCAATTTGATAATTTTATTCATAAAATATAAGTGAGACTTACATCCATTTCTGGTGAATCTTCTCAAATAATTTTATGTGTAGGGCCTTGAGATGTATCAATTATAAAACATGAAAACATTTTTAAAATTTACAAATATAAACCATTACTTTATACAAGAATTCTCTATAAAGTTTGTCAATCAAAGTAAAAAATAATATGCTTCAACTGAATATAAGGCATGTCCAGTTTGTGTCGTTTTGTAGAATTATTTTTGTTTAGTTGGAGACTTTTCTCTCTGCTGGTCCTGATTTTTCTTTGATTCTCTGGATTGTTCAGAGTATCTGTTAGATTTTTCCCATCGCCTCTCGGCACCATTCTGATATCTATCTTCATCACTTCTTGAGCCAGAGTGTTTTCTATTCGTTTCCCTTGACTTTGATCTATCTTTTCTTCTAAAATTTTCACCATCCTTATTTCGGTGTCTATGCTTCTCATTTTCAGAAAAAGAACTTCTGTCTCCTCTCTTCTTTTTGGGGTCACCATGCTTACTTTCCAAATCTGTATGCATTTCTTGGTCTATGTCATTCACAACTCTATTGTAGTTATTTCTTTCAGAAGGAACACCTTTGTCTGATGTGTACTTTGTCATAGGATCTCTCCAATTTGAATCTCTTGAATTTTGATCTCTGTGTTTTTCTGATCTTCTTTCTCTCTCAGTCCTTATTTCCTGGTGCCTTTGTTCTTGTCTTCTTTCTTTGTGTTTCCTATCATTTGTTTGCTGGTTTCTGATCAATTTATCTACTTCTTTACTTCTGGTCTTCCCATGTCCCTTCTTTCTTACATCATTGGCTGCATATGTAAAATAAAAGACAGTTAGCCTTTATTTCAATCTTAATTTCATAATTACAACAATCACATTTACAGATACACTGTAGGTTTACTAACTCAGATAAACCGGACGCAAAGCCAAATTGATTGAATAGAAGGTCTGATAACACAGGGTCTTAACAAATGCTTAATTTTTAAGAATATATGACATCTCAGGTCAGGCACAGCAGATCACGACTGTAATCCCAGCACTTTTGGAAGCAGGGACAGTGGGGAGGTGGATTGCTTGAGCCCAGAAGTTCCAGACCAGCCTGGGTAATGTAGTGAAACCCCTTCTCTACAAAATCTCAAAAATTAGCCAGGTGTGGTGGCATGCGCTTATAGTCCCAGCCACTCAGGAGACTGAGGTGAGAGGATCAACTGAGCCCAGGAGGCAAAAGTTGAGTGATCCAAGTATGCACTGCACTCCAGCCTGGGTAACAAAGTGGGACTCTGCCAAAAAAAAAAAAAAAAAAAGGGAAGGAAGGGGAAGAAGGAGGGAAGGAGGAAAGTCAAGGAAGAAGAAAGGAGAGGGAATATATAATATCTCAACATTAGTTACCAAAGTACTGTTTTGATCTTTAGATTCAAGACAGTAAAAAGAAATTTTATAGCAAATGTAAAAATTTTTAGAAAATGACTCGAATAGTACATTTCCACTTAACAAATTTAATACAAAAATTGAAATTCCATCTGATCTGTGTTATTTATAGGAATATTATATCAGATGTGGTACCTACTCGAAATACAATGATAACACAAATTAGCAATCACTTCCTAAACATAGGAGGAGTAGAACAACTGGGTTTGCTTAACAGTATGAATATATACTTCTCAATGAAAGGCCTCTTCCTGCCAAAACAATAGTTCTCCTCTCTGATACTTGCAGAGAGACACTAAATGCACCAACAAGAGCAGATATGTTAAGATTTACAGTCATAGGCTTTATTAGAGCCACAAATGCTTAGTTTCTGAAGAAACTTTTCTAAAAAGACCTCAAATAATTTAATTTTGCTGATATAATCCCAACTATAAATACGAAATGATTATACTGAAATAACTTACCACTTTAAGCAACAAAACAAATTTAATCAGTTTATCCGTTACTTAATTTGGGTGCATAAATCAAAAATGCTAAGATAATAAAAATGTCTGTCGAATTCTTACATATGCAGGAAAGAGAAAAATATGATAGAAAAGTGCCTCTTGTCACCCTAATTCTACCTAAATCTCTCTGTACCAATCTGTATTTCTTCTGCTAAATGCCTACCCTTGGCACATGGTACAGTCAGTTGGTCTGCCACTAAGGACCTATTTCTCTGGTTCCTATCAAACAGCTCAGCTGAGCTGCAGCTACCCAAGCAGAAACCATCTGGCTCTGTGCTAAACCAACGTCCCCCTGACTCTATTGTACACTACTCTCAGGCTTTCCTGGTATAAAAACCCACCCACATAACAATAGGTAGTCTCTTCTCCCTTTGCTATGTCTGTTTTACAATTTCCTAATTTTGGGGCAGTTCATACTGGTCTTATGCTATTTAATATTTCATTAATAAAACAAAGTTATCTACTGAAATCGTATAGGAAGGCAAATTAATTTTAAATCAGCAAGCTTCCTTATTGAAGAAATTCATGCTGTGTTATCATCTGTTCTCAAAATGGATACCATGAAAAAAACAAATTCTGCAGAATATAAAAATTGTGAATGTTAAATGAACATTTGTACACTTAAATACAAGAATTAAAGTTCCTATAAGCAAACAATCTTTCTCTGATAATATAAAAAACAGACAACCCCAGAATTATGAATGTCACACAATATGTAAAACACTTTGAAATATAACAAGCTATGGAACAAAGGTGCAAAGATTAGCCTTTCAATTTAAGGCTATGGAAGAAAGTGTTGATGCCACATTGGATGAAATATTGCATCAAAACAGAACAAAATGAGAAATGACATGCATGTAGGGTAAGCAGACAATCCCTTACTTGGACCAAGATACTGTAATGAAAGAAAACAGAGCTGACCTTGTGTAAAACCACACAGATCTTTTCAGAAACTATGAACCGGAACCAAACTTTGAAAACATCTTTTACTACAGTATTTCCACTTTAATACAGGATAGAGAAGACTGTGGAAAACCTGTGCTCCTGCTGAAAATAACTAGAAATGCCAGATAAAATTTTTAAATGTTTCATTGAAAAACATTGAAACGTACACAGAAATCAAATTAAAGGAACTCCTAATTGCCAAAGCTGAGATGATTTGAACAAAATAAATGACAGTACTAAACTTTAACCCACAGGATAAGATAAATAACCATGTGTCTATATTGATATATACAGTTGACTAAATAAATAAATGAGACAAGAGGGATAATGTTTTCTTACGGAAGAAATTCAATTACTTGATGTAGAAGAAAACAAATAAAAAATCACCATTAGGAAAACACCATAGTAAAAATAAGTGTTGCAGACAAGATCCAAAATGGATGTTAAAATTAGTGAGTAAAAAGCTGGAGGAGAAAGAGATTTGCATACTATCAAGTTATCTCCCTATAAGATATTTTCACAGAAAAAAATAGTTTCCCTGAAGACATCCAGTGGACACCACGTTACTCAAGTGATCAAGGCTGTCACCCAAAATAAAATTATGACCCCCTTGATAAGATGCACTAAGAACAACATATTGTTTCCACTGTACTCTTGCCAAATATGTCTAACCTCATTCTAATAATGAGAAAACATTAGATGAAACTCCATACTGAGGGACAGGTTACAAAATAAGTGACCAGAGGACTTCAACAGTGTCAAGGCTATTAAGAACAGAAAAAGCTTGAGAGGCACTTTCATACAATGCAGAAAATTGAGAATACAATTAAATGTAAGGAGAATCCTAAAATAAGAAAAAGGACGTAAGTGGAAAATCTGGTTTTCAAATCCTATCTGTAGTCTACTCAATAATGCCTTTCCAATGTTAACTTCCTTGTTTGATAAATGAACCATGATTATGTAAGATGCTACCATTAGGGAAAGTTGGATGAGGAGTATATGGAAATTCTCTGTACTGTTTTTGCTACTATCCTAAGTCTAAAATTAGTTCAAAATAAAAGGTTACAGTTACAAAGTAAAAAATATAAAGGCATCAGAGAGCTAGTGGAAAAATAAAAACTAGAGGGGCCAAGATGTAGGAGAAGGCAGAAGCATTGAGAAGTAAGCTGATGTTCTACAGCCACTTTCTCCCTGGGAGCATCTGCTGATTCAGGGACACTGGTGAGGGACAGAAGGACACCAAAGCTCTGGTAGCCTTGTAGGGCTAGAGAGACAAGAACAGGACTGGTTATTTGCCATACATCTATGTGCAAAAGATATCATTATCTAGAATACGTAAAGAACACTTACAAATATACAGAGAATGCAACTTAATTAAAAAAAGTCGAAGGCTGAGCAAGGTGGCTCACGCCTGTAATCCCAGCACTTTGAGAAGCTGAGGCCGGTGAATCACGAGGTCAGGAATTCAAGACCAGCCTGGACAACATGGTGAAACCCCGTCTCTACTAAAAATACAAAAATTAGCCAGGCACGGTGGTGGGCACCTATAACCCTAGCTACTTGGGAGGCTGAGGCAGAAGAATCACTTGAATCCAGGAGGCAGAGGATGCAGTAGGCTGAGATTGCACCACTGCACTCTAGCCTGGGTGACAGAGCAAGACTCCCTCTCAAAAAAAAAAAAGCAATAAAATATTTGAGAACTTGACCAAAAAAATCCAAATGGCCAATAATGTATAAAATGGTGTTTAACTTCATTAGTTGCAATGCAAATTAAAACTAAAACCACAATGCAGTACCATTGCACATCCATCCGAATGGCTAAAATGAAAATAGATGGCCAATTTGAAGTATTAATAAGGATGAGAACTACATAAACTCTTATACACAGCTGGTGGTTGTGTAAGTTGGAATAACCAGTTGGAAAACTGACAGTATTTACTAAAGCTAAATATATGCAAATCTTATGACAGAGTGACTCCACCTATAGGTACATACCCAGTAGAAATGTGAATAAATAAAGTCATCAAAAGATACATACAAGAATATACATGGAAATACCACTTATAAATCTAGTCTGTTGAGTAAAAATGATAAATATTGTGGTATTCATATAGTAGAAAACTACACAGCAATATGAATGAACTAACTATACCTAAATGCAGGAATGCAGCTAAATCTCACAAACATAACGGTAAAAAAATACGCTAGAAATAAAAAGGAGTCCATAATACATGATACTAAGGTTAAAAACATGCAAAATTAATTTATGAAATTACAAATCAGAATACAGAGAACTTCTGGGGTACCAGGATATCTTGATCTGTGTGCTAGCTATACGTATGTGTTCCCTCTATAAACATTCATATGGCATCTGAGGTCCACACTGAATGTTTGATATGTCAATTATAAACATAAAGCTTTAATATTAAAAGTAAAAATTCAAATCTTCTTTAAAATAAAAACATCAGGATAGCTTCTATAAACTAGATTACAAACATTATGAATGGTATTTCAGTCATAACTCAAATAAGTATTTGCCAATGAAATATTTTCATTTCTATAATGAGGATATCAAAAGGTAATCCCAGCATTATAAATGTTGTACTACACCACAGACTGCAACAATGATAGACGGAACCATTTGTATTAATTGTGGCTTTTAAACAACTGATCTCTAAAATAAGCAATCTAATCATTTTCTTCCTTCATAAATATCAGCAATGTATTCATTAAAAAAAGAGCAAGCCAAATTACAAATGAGCATCAATACCTGAGGCAGAGCTATGACTACCGATAGATGCAGAATCGCTCTCTTCACTGGAAGATTCTGAACTGCTACCACTGCTGTCAGACTCGGAGTCAGAGGAGTCAGACTCTGAAGAGGAGGATGCTGAAGAGGAAGAGGATGGGGAGGATTTATTTTGCTCAACATCTGGTTTCTGTGCCACAAGGACCTTTGGTGTATTTTTGAGATGCTCACGTAGTTCATCCCTAATTTAAAATATAATCTGTTAGATTCTATTTCAAAGACAATTCTGAGTTAATTTTACAATCTGAAAAGAAAATTCTGAGAATAATCCTTACGTTAAACCTGCAAGACCTATAGAAGTAAAGAAGTTGATGGCAAATCGAGTGTTTCTTGGATTATCTCGGGGTAATAAACCTTCAAAGAATGGCTGTAGGGTTCTAAGAACAAAAATAAATAAACAAAAGAAAACAGATTGCTTAAGATAAAAAGGCAAAATCCCTTACACAGTCATTTTTCACATTTTTCATATATTAAATTACTAAATGAATTACAACCAAGTAACTAGTTGATGTCATTTATTAGGTTAGGCTATGTGCTATCTAAATGAAATGAGTAGGGTCAAATAATAATTTACCGAACTTGATTTCTGTCATTATACAAGGGAGGAGGTTTTTAAAAAACTTTTTTGTACACATACAGAAAAGATAAATATATATACACACACACATATATATACGTGTGTGAATATATGTATAGTGTATATATAAACACACATGCATGCATATATAGTGAGTATATGTACAAAAAAATTTTAAAAACCTCCTCTGTTTACGTACATGCACACACACACATACATAGAACTGTGCAAAGTACAGGGGGAGAGGTGGAAGTAGTCAACAAAAGGGAGAAATCAAGGATGAAGACCATATAATTACAATATCTATGAAGTGAGACAACCAGAAAGACACTAACAATACAAGGTGGTTTTGGACATTTGGTTTTCAGCACCACACTGAATCACAACTCAAGTGGAGTCAGGAAAAACTTTCTGACAGGAAAAGGTAAAATATAAGAAGAATGATTAAGAGTTTGCCAGACAGATCAAGAAGAGAGGAAAATGCCAGCAGTGGAAACAGAAGTAAGGAAGCATGAAAGAGCCAGATGTGTTTAACAAGCTTGGCAATGTGGCTGGAGTGCAGCTTGCTGAAGAGAGAGAAGATGAGCCTGGTCAAGTAGATAGGGGCCAAATGAGTAAATACATGAAGCCACGAGAAGTGGATGGAATGGCCCTCAGGCAGTGTGTGCAACTCAGGAACACTGAAGAGGCAGGCTGAAGAAGAGACTGAGAGAGGAATTGACAGAAAGTGAGGAGCCAAGTGAGCAGGTGGTCAAATGTGTAAGTGAGTCACAGAAGTGAAGGGGCATGCAGATTGAGAAAGATGATTGGAAAAAAAAAAAAAGAGAGAAAGATGACTGAATATGGCAGGTGGTCACTGAGAAATCTGAAAGGATGATTTCAGTAGTGTCAATGGAAGCCAACCTAAATGGTAATGTGAATAAATAGGAAATAAGAAAGGTGAGGATTATATACTAGTCCTGAAATAAGACTCTATTTCCATGTAATAATTTGAACTATTATTAATAGATGCCATATATACTCAAAACTGTCCACTGATAATATTAGTTACCATTTGAAGGCTTAATATTAGGGTAAAAAGAAAATAAAATTATAAATATCACTGGAGAATTCAAGTGAGCATGTAAAAATAATTCTTTTCTAAGAAAATTTGAAAAATGCACTAATTTGAACTCCACTTAAACTAAAAACCACCACTAAAAGTTGCATGTTGTCCTGTGCAACATAACATTAGATCCAGAGTAGTGATTAACGAATGAAGAAAGTCCCAGGGGGCTCAGCTCTTGTTTTACAATCTTGGATAGGCTTATGTCTGCCATAATGAAAGAAGACCTGAGGTCAACAAGAATGAAAAGTGCTAAATGAGAAACTTACTCATCCTTTAATCTTGCATTAAGTTTAGGAAGACCCATGTATTCACATAGTTCCTGAAAAAATATTTTCACAAAAATTCTACTGGATGATGTAGTGGTTTCTTCACTCAGTTTTATACATTCAAGAACCTGAAAATTAAAATTTAAAAAGGCAATTATATTTTAATTTGTAAAAGACTGACCAATACCTGTAGGTTTAAGTGTTTCTCAAAATTACTATTTATTCCCATCTGCAACCTTAGTTCTCTCTGAATATCTCTCCTTAGGCTGACATAAAAATTTAAAACTACTTCTCTATATTAACTTTAAAAATGTTAAGATGCTACAGAAATAGATTTCATTCTCTGTTTCGGGTAATGCGCTTGTTATAGCAAAGAAGATATCCTCTCTTAAGTGGATAATGGTAAAGATTACTAGCTCTTAAAACTTACTCATCAAAATGTGGTGTATATGAGGGTGTGGGGCAAAATGCCACTTAGCACATTAGGCTACAATTCTGTATAGCACATATATGATTAAAAAAAAGTATGATGGTTTTTTCTGAATATTAAGACTGTGGCTTAAAAAGTGAAATGTCTAAAGAAATATTTTTAGGGCAAATAAAAATAATAGTAACCTCCAGTTTTTATGAGTTATGTGTTCCAGGAGCCCATTAGTTAGTTAATTGTTTAAAATTCTGATTTCATTTTCTTAAAGAGGGAACAAAAAGAAGTAAAAAATTATTACAATTAGCCACCTGGGTTAGATTACAAATGCCTATTAATGTAGCTGGACATATTTACTACTTAAAATAGTCTAAAAATCTATCCAATGTTTGTAAGTTTGAGATATTGCCTCATTTTACCATTAGTAGGATGGCATTCTACAAGATGATCCTGTTCTTTCCTCCTGGATGTAATTTCTTCTCTTTCTTTCTTTTTAATTCCTTTAGCAACTTTGCTTTTCTTAGGATCTATGACTTTTTGTTTGCATCACTGCTATGGGCATATCTTACCTCTGCTCTTATGTTAACCCCCTTGAAAGGAGGGATCGTATTTAATTCACTCATACCCAGTACCTCTCTCAAATGACTGGATATATAAATGGTGGCTAAATAACAGCGGTTGAATAGCAGCTGTAAAATAAATGCCACCTTACTTAATGCCTTTCAAATTTCAATCCAGTGCACATTTCCCCATCAAGAATATATCTCTCTTTGTTCTATGACCCTAGGATATCTTCTCTATGGCTTACTCAAATTCAGTATCTGCTACTTGGGAGGCTGAGGCAGGAGAATTGCTTGAACCTGGGAGGCAGAGATTGAGTGAGACTCTGTCTCAAAAATAAAAAATAAAAGAAAAATGAAAAAATTACATTATGATGCTTTTTACGAATTTTGTTTGTTTGTTTTAGCTCATCAGCTATTGTTAGTGTTAGTGCATTTTATGTGTGGCCCAAGACAATTCTTCTTCCAATGTGGCCCAGAGAAGCCAAAAGATTGGATACCCCTATAGTGCATCAAGAAGATGGACCACATAATCCATTAAAGAACAAATTTCCTATTATATTTAAGTCACAATTTGATTTATAGGCAATAACTCAGAAATTCTATGTAAAGTGCAGTGTTTCAGAGACTATCTTTTTACCATATCCCGTTCGAGCAGAAAATTTAATTCACTGGAGTGAGTAGCACAACTGAAACACTGCAGTTATTCTAAAATGATATAAAACCTACATTTAAAAATTAGTATTTAGCACTGAGGTATTGCTTCAATTCACAATATTTACTCATTAACAGCCTTAACCATTTTAAAAATCAATATATACATTTCCTAATGGAAAAGAAATATTAACATACTGTTTGGCTTTCAGGAAACTCCATTTTCAGCAATTTGTGAGCACATTCTTCAAAATCTAAACTGTGGAAATGATCACAATAGGTTAAAAGCTTGCAATATAGACTGTACGAACAAGAATCTTAGTTTAATAACATAAGTAACCTTTTTTAACTGTAATTTCATATTGTTGTACTGTGGTATATGAAGAAAATATAGCTCTTGACAGAGAACGAAGTGCCAATATATGCAACATGGATGAATCCTTGAATTATGCTAAGTGAAAGAATCCAGACACAGACTACATATAGTATGATCCCATTTACATAAAATGTTCAGAAGAGACAAACCTATGGACACAGAAAGTAGATAAAATTAGTAGGAAGTGACTGCTAATAGGCTCAGGGTTTAGTTTAGAGTAATAAAAATGTTCCGGCATTGTATAATGATGATCGTTGTACAACTTTGTGAATATACTAAAACTACTTCCAGTCATGCATCACTTAGTAACAGGGTTATCTTATGAGAAATGCATTCTTAAGAAATTTAATATGCGAACATCATAGAGTGCATTTACCCGATCCTAGATGGTACAACCTAATTTACCTAGGCTATATGCTATGGCTGTTGCCCCTAGGCTAGAAACCTATCCAGCATGTTACCGTATTTCTGAATACTGTAGGAAACTGCAACACAATGGTAAGTATTTGCGTATATAAATACACCTAAACATAGAAAAGGTATAGTGAAAGTACAGTATTATAATTTTATGAGACTACCATTGCCTATGTGGTCCATTGTTGACTGAACAGTTGTTATATGGCTGTGAATGTACACTTTAAAAGGGTGAATATCATAGCATGTGAATAAAATATCAATCTTAAAGGCAAAAATAAAAATAAAAGAGTTGTATGCACTGAATTATATTATTCCCTCAAACCAACCATCCTCAAGCTATAACTCATCAGATAAAAGGGTTTCTAATCTATATGATTTTCTTCATTTTAAAGTGAAGAAACAAAACACACGATGTGTAAGTTTCTCTCATTTCTGCAATCATATTTGCTTATCGAAACGTTTCCCACTACAAACTGGCCACTCAAGTATGATGGCAGTAAATTCTTTTTTTTTTTGAGACGAAGTTTTGCTCGTTACCCAGGCTGGAGTGCAATGGCGCGATCTCACTGCAACCTCCGCCTCCTGGGTTCAGGCAATTCTCCTGGATGGCAGTAAATTCTTAAGTGTTAGCAATATCTTTTCCTTCAAGCACTGAAGGATAATAACCATACATAAAGAATTTATTAACTGTTCTGACTTGATAATTCCATATTACAGAACAAGTCTAAGTACTCTAAATCTGGGTAACTAGGTCCCAGATCTCATGAAGTATTTCCCAATGCTCAAGGTTTTCAAGAGACCTAGCTGTTCTGTTCTACATTTAGTTGTTGTTAAGTAAATCTAAGACAGAAAAAATCAACTCTGTTCTAAAGCTTAGATAAAACAACAGTTAGGATGGTTAACAATGAGGACAAAGAAATAAAGTCTTTAAAATGTTAATACTTCTTTAAAATAAATAATTATAACTAAAATTTTTAAGAAATGCATTCCTATTCACAAATGTACACCTAAATTAGAAAGAACCAGAGGTAAAAACACCTATAGGCTACTATATTGATTTAGGTTTATACATAGGATTTCAGAAGGATTTACAGACGATCTAATTAGATCCTTTTTATAGATGAGAAAAATGAGACTCAGGTATTTTGTGTTTGAAACTTGCTCCTGGCCACATAGTCCTGGAAGTAGAACTTGAACACAGGAATATTTATACTTCCTCACTCAATATTTCAGAAGAAAAGGCTATAATTAATATTTAATTTGATAAGTCATATCTTGAAATGTATATTATATGTTTAGAGAAACTAGGAAAAGTCGTAATTAAAACAGGAGTAAACATAGGTCAAGTTTCTCTGCTTACATTAAAATCTCAGCGTGGAAGAGTAAATGATACATTACTCTATCATAACTCTACCTACTTTTACTAAAGATTGCAAATTTCTTAGATTTTTCTATACTGCTTCCAAGAGGTAAAAGATGTTCCAAGAGCTCAGCATGACGTTAGTGCTTACTGACTACTTTTACAAGTTAGCTTGGTTCATCCTAAACACATCCTACCACATACAAAAACAGTAAATAAAGAAAACTTGCAAGAAAAAAATACCCAGTATTGATATGAACAGATTTTAAAATATCATCAGCATAGTTTACCTAAGAGAATTGGCAAACTCAATTTGTTAGTGCTTTATTGATTGAGAAATATGCTACTACATTTGCATTTCTGTGGAATGCCCACACCTTTATTTTTGATAACACGGCATAAAATCACTAATTGAAATATGATGATTATGGACTTAGTTTTGCAGTTCATCTGTATTTCTCAGCTTCTATTACTTAAAAGGTTTCCTAAGCACAACAGGGTAATAATCCAGGATGATACAAGGCATTGAAATAAAGAAAAAAACCTACCAGGAAAGAGATTATATAACAGAGAATATTAAACAGTATCTAACGTTAAGATTAAAATACTAAACGGTAACCGATAAACTTTAATAATACAGCAAAACAAAAAACATTTAAAACAGATGTGACTTCTTCTTTTCTACCTTTTTAAAAAAACAAAATTAGTACTGAGACAAAATCCTGAAATTTCTGAAAAACAGTCAAGTAGTTGATGAAGAAATGTTACTACTTTCCTTTTATCTAGTAAGTGAAGTATCAGGGAGAAAGCTAGCTATAAGACAGTTTGTTGTTCTTGTTCTTGTTTTATTTTGAAAGTACTTAATGACTCCCTACACCAAGATAGTTTTTAGGCTGTACTAATTACGAATATTAAATGAATTAAATTTTGTTGATATTTTACTTCTCATCTTAGATTGCTAAACCAAATGAGTCTCAGGTTTAACACAAATAAATAGCGATTGAGGGGAGGGTAAAGAAAAAAGAAGACATTTACTGAATTACTGTTTTGTTCACATGATGGTTTACAAAGTGGTTTTGTTGATGTGTCCAATTTCAGAAACTTTGAACAGGTGAGGACATGGAAGTCCATCTCCCTCTCATTTAGTTACAACTTCAAAAAGGTAAAATCAGACTGGAATGTCATTTAAATGCAAGAACAAACAGGAATGCTTTATCTTTAACAGCCAAGGCAATTGTGTAGTTTAATGTTTCATGCATATAAAAAATGGGTAATTTAGGGGGCCATACCAGAAGGAAGATAAGACTACTGGTGGTATCAGTCAACAAAAACAAATTAAAAAAATAAAATTTTCACACAGTTCAGTTGCCAGAACTAAGTTTTTGTTCATAAGATTTTCAGGTAGACTGTTTAAGATGCCCTTATCGCCACCTGGCTTGATGATTACATCCTATTCTTGATTTTTAGCCTGGTATATAATAAACAAAAAAGCTTTTGAAAAATACAAAAACTGAAGATAAACACTAAAGTATCTGTTAGTCCAACCTCATGTCAAAATAATCACTACTGATATGTTAACATATTATTTCTAGAATCCATCTATTTTTACAGTTAGGAAAATACTACAAGCACAATTCTATATAGTTATATAGCTTTTATCCCACCTAAGATTACATCAGACTGTTTGCTCATTTAAAACAATTCTCTATTAACCTAATTTTCAGTGGTGGCATAGACTGAACATTTTGATTGTGGTGGAAAATAAGATTGTCTCCATTTTTGCTTTTGCAACAAACAATTCTGTATATAATTATGTGTCCACATTTATATCTTTAGGAAATACAGTAATGAAAAACAAGGGTCAAATAGCATGAACAATAAGCCCTTGATTCACATTACATAGCAGGGTGACTATAGCAAATAACAACGTAGCTAGATTTGAATGTTGTCATCATAAAATGATGAAGCTTTAAAGAGAGAAATAAGGTAAGTACCCTGATATGATTATACAATGTATATATGTCTTGAAACATCACCCTTAGGCTATAAATATGTACAACTATTATGTGTAAATTATAAATAAAAATTAACTAATTAAAATTAATAATATTTAGAAAAATAACAAAAAATCCCCACAGAAAATCAACACATAAGACAGGAGTTACTGCTACTAGGGACTGATACCACTATGTAATAGTGGCTACTACTTGTGTTTTAATGATTTAATTTTTCAAGTCTTTTGTGTGATTCAGAGATTATCAAGGTTACATTTCTTTTAAATAATTATTCAAAGAGCTCCACTGTAACTCTTCAAAGTTAATGTTAACTGCAACACTAACACAGTAAATCTGCTGCTCACAACTGATTACTGTTGGATTTCTGAAAAAGGAAAAACAAATGAAAGGTCAAACTTTACCTCTGACAAAATATTTATCATCTTTCACTTTAAGTTTATATGAAAAAATATTTAATACTTTTTTATGTGAAGAGACAACCAGTAACGATAAAGCCAAAAAAATTCCCAACCCATGTTTTGCTGTTTAACATTCCTGTATTTGAAGATAAACCTAAAGCCAAAAATTGTTCAGACTGAAAACAGATGACTCCTACTTATGAATCATTATTGCTATTACATCATACTAAATGGAAATATACTAGTAATGAAACAAAACTGAGGAAACATTTCTCCTCCAGTGTAAAATGTAAACACTGTGCCCATTAAATCAATAGGTTGATTCGCATATAAAGTAACAGATGGACTGAGATTTAACATCCTCATTTATTTCTCTTCAAAACCAAATTCACAGCCTTCAAAGGGAATAGGTTTTGTTTTCAGGACATCATATCACACTACTTCTTACTTAGCATTACTTCAAAGAGTCCTCAAAACCTTCCTACGTTTAATTCCTGTTTCTGTTTATATTCATTTACATCTGCAGAGCAAATCACTGTCTAACAGTCATCACAACAGTGCTTCTCTGCCTAGAACCAGAACTAGAAACCAAATTTTACAAATGTTAAATATTAAATTTTCATTATACAATTCAATACTCTGCTATCTTATAAAACAGAATTATTTTCAGGTTTTTATTAGTGGCACTTAACTATAAGAAATGATATAGCTAAAATACCATTTAATTATGTAACACAATTCGACCTTCCAATTAAGTAAAGACAATTTGTCTGTAAAGGAAAGAACCAACAGAAGGGAACTATGAGCTTGGGCATGGGATGGGAGAGAGAGGTAGGCAGTCTAAGAATTAGAAATGGTGTGCAGTTTTCTGTTATGAAATCCCAAAATGTATCTCTGATATCCTTACCCATCCCTTATCAAAAAAAAAATAAAGGAACAACTAAGAGATGATCTCTTACCTTGACTGAATAGCAAGATAAATTGTACGACGAAATGAGACCAGATTAATTTCTGTTTTGTCATGAATAGTCACTTTTTGTCCTGAAAGAAACATAACAAAATTACAACACTGCAAAAATAAATGTGAAGAAGCTAAAATGTATCTCTGTATTTTCTTCATAAATCTATTTAGAATCAATACAAATTTAATAATACCTTTCTTTACCTGTGCAAATTAGTATTTACAGAATTAAAGGTAGCTATTTCAAGTCTTTTGCTGTATCATAAATGTTAGCTCAAAGAAGTTCAGAACCAAGCCAAGAAAACTATTTTTTTTCTCTCTGTCATCTGCTCATTTAGACACTATGAAAGGCTGCACTCATCCTGTTGTTTGGTAAAATATTATTTCTAAAGTTATAAACAATATTGATACTTTAGAAGCACCATATAACTCAGAAGTAAAAATTGAGCTTCAGAGAACACTGGATCATCAAAACAGGTTGAATGAGTCCAACATAAATATGTGTATTTGTCAAAATTTTCTCTTATTCAATGCATAAAAACTTTCCTTATAAATATGTAATAGCTTTTATTTGAATAGTATTTTCATATAAAACAAGGTAATTCTAAAGGAAAATGTAGTACATAGATTTAAATTAAAAAATTAGAAAAAATTAAATCTCTTTTTACAAAATACGTTATAGAAGAACAATTGTACTATAAGACAGAAGTATATATGATACCCTAAAAGGCAAAGATAAACTTTTAATATCTTCATACATGTAATACATGTGAATAATGAACACTTTATGTATGTTCTGATATATTAACTGTGCCTTAACCAAAGTAAAGTTCTGAGCTTATTTCTGTGAAATAATGTAATCAAAGCAGAAGAGGAAAAACATATTACTTCTGTGCAAATACAGCTTTTGGCCTCCCCACTCTATTTTGCCAAAATGAATGGCAAATATCCAGTCACTCTCATTTGTCACATTCCTGCCAGGGCTACATAAATCACATGCACTCAGTATGAATACATGTTTTCATAGTCTATAATATAAGCAAAGGCATAATATACTAAATTAAAATTGTGCTGATGCTAAAAAAAGAATCTGTTAAATACTTTTTGAGCAGTTTCTCAACCTTGGCAACACTGGAATTTTGGGCTAGATCATATCTTGTTGCTGAAATTTTGGGCTGGATCATATCTTGTCCTGTGGTTTGCAGGCTGTTTAACAGCAGCCCTAGTCTTCACCCACTAGATGCCATCAGCATCCCTCCTCGCTCTCCCCAACAAGAACTACTGTTTTAGAAGTTATACTACAATTAATTTAATTTTAGAGTATCTTATAATATTATTTGAATATGCTACATGTTTACCTTCTTCTTCTTCTTCTTCTTCTCCCTCTTCCTCTTCTTCTTCCTCTTCCTCTTCACTACTCCCAGCATCTTGGTCTGTATTTGAGTCACTGTCTCCCTCATCAAGAATTTCTGTAAAGTACAAAGTTTAGGGAAAAAATAATGTGCAAGTCATATGTATGTATTTCATTCTAAGAAGATAATTCCCAGTTCATTGAAATCCACGGTGGTATAACAGTTTACCAGCCAACAAAGATAACCACCAAGCCTTGTGTTATTACCTAGGTGGTGAAAAAGGATTACAACTGATATGACTAGAGAGAGCCATATGTAACATTCTTTTGCCACATAAAAAGTGGCCATGAAACAAGGAGATGAGAAAAACAACAACAAAAAAAGTAGATGACGGTTTTTGAAAAGAGAAAGAGCATTGGGAAAATATTAAGAATAGAAGCTAGCATATGGGAGTCAAAATATTGTTTTATCATCAGAAAGAAGTTCGTCCATTATAAAAAAAAATTAGGGCTAGATACAGAAAACAAGAATGTACTAGGAAAGACAAAGAAGGGAGAGAAAATAATTGCATAATTTAGTGTTCACATGAAATAAACAGTAATGAGATTTTTATTAACATGTATACCTACTAATTGAACATTAAAATAAATCCAAAGACTTTTCATACATAAAACAGAGACAGAAGTTTAAAAGCCTTTAAGACAACTGGTAAGACAAGCACTGTATTGGATTATCACTTTTAAAAATACAAATGATATATTCAGAACTGGATGAAAACAGTGATATATATGAGACTACATAAGGCCAGTCATTACACTAAAAGCAAACAAATGACAAAAACTAAAATTATATTTTGTCCAGCTGTGCTCTGTTAGCCTGGTAAAAGATTCTGCAAACCTGACCAACTCTTTACTTTTGCATTTCTATTATAATCAGAGAGCTTTTAATACAAAGTTCTGGAATAAATTAATTTTTTAAAAAATTCCAATTTCTTTATATTTAACTAAGCAGTATAAATCCGGAGACACATAATGAAAGTAAGCAGAGAACTTCATATTATGAGAAACAAATCATTTTGTAAAAATGAAGAGGAGCCATTCAGCCCTTATCTGAGATACAAATCTCAAGAATATTTCTAACAAAAGTGAATTCAAGAGATAATCTAAAGTATCTAGTTTATTACTATGCACATGGCTTAGACAGACTTTTAAAAGAAGAAACTATTTAGTATTCAACAGTAGGAAGACAGGCACTCCTGCTGTTTTCCCAAATGCTGTTAAGATCTAAAACACAAGTACACCTGGGTCAGTCTAAAGTGCTAATTATTAAAGCTGTGCCCTCTTCCTGCTAGGACCATTTTTTTCCAACTCTAGAAAAATGTTTTAGAAAACAATGAAGGTCAAATAAATTGTCTAATCATTTACATCATCCTCTTCTCAGCTCTTCACTTTAGAATCTACTTATTAAAATCACTCAGACAAGGACAATTGGATTTCATTAACTGAATAAAGTAGTGGTTTCAAAGCATGATCTAGGAGTCCAAGGAGGATCTGAGGTGTCTCAGGTGCTCTGTGAGGTCAAAACGATTTTCATAATAATAACAAGACAGTATCTGCCTTTTAACTGTGCTGACATCTGTGATGATGATCCAAAAGCAACCGGGTTTAAAACTGCTGTAATCCAAGCACTAACTGAGGCACCAAACTTCACTAGTAGTCACTGTATTCTTTACTACCACCCTCTTGAAGTAGAAAGCCAGTTTCATCTGAGAATGTCCTTGATGAAGAAGTAAAACATAACTACTTTTATTAAATCTCAGCCCTGAATATAATCTGAGTGATGAAATATAAAATTCATATATATAGCACTTCTGTTAAAGACAGATATACAATGGTGACAGTTATGTCAAGGAAAACCACTTGTGTGACTGTTTGCTTTGCAAGGTGAGTTAGCTATTTTTTTCATTTTCACTTGAAAGAACTGGCCAACTAACTATAGTTGTTAGATACTTGGCCAACAATTTCTCAAATGCAAACAAACTGAGACTGTCACTTCAGGGAAAACAATTCATGATATCTGCGACGATGATAACAGAGTTTTCAAGAATTTTGAAAAACTTATATCCATCCCTGTGAGCTTAAGAGCTCCCTAATACTTAGATTTTTCGGACGAAATTATAACAGAAAAAAGGCATCTGGCAGGTTGCAGTGAAAAGCTCCTAGGAAATTAGCAATATTATTAAATGCACAATCTAGATATTGTACCAACATGTTAATCTGATTTTCATAATATTAAGGTTAACATTTTAAAAATGCATAACTCAGTGAATTAGTATTTTCTAAATAACTAATTCAACATTACAAAATCCTACACGAGTAAAAGATGTATTTAAAGTGACAGGCAAATGCATTCTAATGTAACACTATCAAAGTTCATTAATATTGTTTCAGAATTCACACTGCAATTAATCTTAAAACTACCAGTTGTTAAATGCTGGCATTTATCTGCAAAGGCTATTAAAATACTGTTCCCTTTTTCTACCTACCTACCTACCTCCCTATCTGAGGCTAGATTTTCATCATGTATGTCAATTAAAACAACCTACTGCAGTAGATTTAATGTAGAAACAGATATGAGGGTCCAGCTGCTTCCCATCAGGCCAAACAGTAAACTCCACAAATAAAAGTTTATAAAATATAGATATAATACAAAATATATAAAACATCATTCTCACCAAATTTGTTTTGTAAATAATGATTTTCATAAAAATATGTAATTTATGTTAACATATACTAGGTTTGCCATTATTTTGAAATAATAAATTCTTTTATATTGCTTTAACTTTTAATAAAGTGAGTATCAATAGATATAACCCACATAAGAAGTTCTTTGGAGTTGTCAATAATTTTCAAGAGTATAAAGGGATCCTGAGACCAAAGAATTTGAGAAGTGCTGTAATAAAAGAAAGTACTACTTTCCAGGCATTGGTCAATTGCCTAGACACTAAAGAAATGAATAGAGAATTCTCAAGTTTAAGAAAGAAAGAAATCAAATCAGGTGTATTTAAGAATTTCACAAAAAACATGTGGCATCTTTCAGGGAGACTGCAGGAAAAGAGGTTCATAAGAAGGCAAAATGGATCTATGGAGTTCTCTATTTGGAAACGAAAATATAACAGAAAAAAGGAATCTAGCAGATTACAGTGAAAAGCTCCTAGGAAATCAGCATCTAAGAAGAGAAACCCATTTGCTATATCAGATTTTAAGGATAATGTATAGGAATGGAAGATTTCTCCCACTTTTCCTTTTCCTTTCAACCTTCCACTTCTAAGCACTACTGAACAATGGAATGCAGACAGTGACAGAGTAGGTCTCTACTTCCTCTGTGTATGAGACTACATAAGGCTGGTCTCTATGTTACAAGCAAACAAATGACAAAAACTAAAGTTATATTTTGTCCAATTGTGCTCTGTTAGCCTGATAAAAGATTCTGCAAAGCTGACCAACATTTACGTTTAGAGAGCTTTTAATACAAACTTTTGGGGTTTAATACAAAGATAAATATTTATTGCTTTCACAAATCCTTCTCCAGTAAAATTACAATTCAAGAGAAATAAGCCCATAAAATTATTATGAAAGTAGGCCAGAGTGTCAGCTTTAGGAGGAAACTAATGCAAATGTGAAAATTATAACATTAATTAATAACAGCTATCATTGTCTGTGATAATATACAACAATGTATTGTATATATCCTTCTATAGAAAAGTAACATTTAGTCTTCCATTAAACAAGTAACTTGCTACAGGTCACTCAGCTAGTAATGTCAAAGACAAATTACAAATCAAAACCTGTCCAAAATTAGCGCTTACCATATATAGCAATGATGTACAAATGCAAGTGATTAATTTATCAGGCACCAATACTATGATTCACCTTACCACAAGGATATCAACCTGACCTTAAGAAACAATGTAAGTATAGCACTTTACAGGAAAGTATACCACTTAATTGAATATTAAACTGGGTGGCAAAGACAGTAAGTGGTACAGAAGTTAAATAAAGGTCACTACTAACCTATGAATATTTCTTAAGATGGGTGAGACTTAAGGGTTTAGAGGGGAAGAAGAGAGGAACAATGGGGTAAATAATTCAGAATGAAGTAAAAAACCATGGGCAAGTACCAGGAAAAATAAAATGCCCAAGGAAACAGCTAAGAGAATAACTTTACAAGAGCAGAGATTTCATTAGGTGGGGATCACTGATCCCTAAATATTTCCTATCATTATTATGTAACTACTTAAATTGCTTTTACTTATCCAAAATAAATTATTTTATAAAATTCTACATACCTTTCTTAAGAGCTTTGTACTTCTCTTCATTCTCCATAAAATTAGGATCCATCTTGAAAACATCTTTAAAAAAAAATTAAAAGTTAATGTTTATTTTCTGTTTACATTTCTTGGTGCTCCACTTTCTACCTACCATGCCCCAGACTTACTAAGAACATCTTCCGGATTATAGTCATCCTCCAAAGGGAGCATATGGGTGAATTGATCATCTTCTTCCACCAAATCAAGACCTTCTAGGATAATGGGGTGGTCCTTGAATCCATCTTTCCGTACAGCAAACATCACTTCAATCATATATTGAACTCTTTTGTCAATTTCAGACTCATGCAGAATATTTCAAAGGCATTCAAATATAGCTAAAGGTAAACAAAGAAAAGACAATAAAATAAGCAATAAATATTATAATACTCAAACAAAAACTTAACATCAAACTAAGAATGTACTCTTACCATTGATTCCTCTTGGTGACACTTGTGTTAATTTGAGGTCACATTCCTTGAGAAAACCAATAGCTACTTCAACACTATCATCTGTTGGTATTTCCAGGAGCAAAGTGAGCACCTCTAAGCACAAAACTTCATGTGCCTTAAATAGAATACATATATATGAAAGAAAAAAAATGCTTTTACATACATTAAAATATTGTTTATAATTTCTAAAAATTAGTAAATCTTGTTTAAAATAATTATACTGCAAATATAATGGGCAAAGTTTTATAAAGCAAATAGAAATACTCCAAATATGGATAGAATTTTTCTATTACTTTTATTATCAATCTATTAAAAATTTTCAGACTGTTCCAATAATCTTAATTTTTTTATGCTGAACACAACTATCTGAATTATCTTCAGAAGAAATATTCTGACCCATTCTGTATGGAAAGTGTCATAGATGAAATACGTTAAAATCATATACTACTTTCTAATAAGAATTATTTTCATAATTACTATATAATAGTAATATGATTTATAATACCCTTCTACATGAGTACACTTCTTTGTATACATTTCCCAATTCATTCTATCAGCAACTCTATTAGACACAAAGAGTCCTTAAGTTACATGAATACTAATTTTGTCACAAAATATCTTAATAACTTCCAGAACACAACAGTTTGGAATATTCTATCTTTTAAAAAAAATAATAAATCAAACTATTTCCACCAGCCACATTCAAAAACTGACATTTATAAACAATGGCAGGAAGAGTGGGAATCAAATTCTACTGAGAAACTCTGGTATGAGAAGAAAAAGAACTACAAAGGATGTTTACAACACTATACATATGCCTTTCTAAAGTCAGATGGTGATTTGAAATGGGGAGGAAAGAAGTCTAAATCTCAACTCAGGAGTCTATCTTCTTCCAATTGTGCACATCAAAGACATCCATTGCTTCTTTTTATAAGGGGAGGAGGGGTGTCAAACAGTCTTACATCAGTGACAAGGAAAAAACTGCCCTGTACCAGAGTTGGGAAGATGCAAAAAATTTGTCATATTGAGTGTTTTATGACAAAACCAAAAATCTCTAGTCCAAGTGTAATACACAATTAAAAATGAAAATATATCTCTGTGGTTATAGATGTGAAATTAAGTTTCCATGGTCTTAAGTAGCAAGTTATCATTGTAATAATACAATGACTAATTAGGTTAGAATCGAGAAGATTTTTAAGAGTGAAAGAATTTTCACATAAATAAGAACCACAACATTTAATGTTAGTGAAATAAGATTAAGTGTGACTTAAAAATTCTTCCTGTTATAAGTGTGACTATAAAATTCTTCCTGTTATACATGATATTAAATTGGAAATGATAATATATAACTGAAGGAAACTTCTGAGTATAAGCAAGAACAATTTTACCACTTTCAAGGTTAAACAGAAACTAAATCAAAACCATCAAATAATGTGTGAATATAAAATAAACACAAATGGAATAATAGCATGATAAAATTGTCTGCATTTGAAACAGATTAAAATTGATCAACTATATTCTATAAAGTGATTCTACAAATATATGACTATTCCTATGTGGTTGCAAAGAATAGAGGCTTTTGTAGAACGTTAGATATTTATTAGGTTCTCATGAATACCAGGTATAGGGAATGAAGTGGAGGAGATACCAACTTTATTATTTTATAAAAATGGAATGGTTTTTCAAAGGAATGGTTTGTAGTCAAGTAACCATGTACAGTATTAAGTCAGATTAATTTGATAAAATAGCTAAAAGTGCTTTGATTAACAAAAAAGTGTTATGTTAAAGAACATGAAATACATTATACTTTTAAAATGAAAATATCATCCAACATATTTAACCCAAAAACTATAAAGTAAAACAAAAATAGAGTTATCAGTGGAGTGGCATCAACCCTGTGGTCTAATGCCACTGAATGGGACCAAGTTTTGAGGATAATTACCTACCACATTTTGGTTAATAAGATGTGCCACAAATTTTGAAGCAGTCAGACAAAGTTGCTGAAAAATGAAGGTAGAGACCAAGTTAATCCATAAATTAAACCTGATATTCATTTGTTTATAGAATCTATGGCCTACTAACATAATCTATTTAAAACATGTAATACAAAAGTATAATTTTTATATTATAAGAAAATTATAAGATAAAATAACACATGAAAGACTATCACTTTTGGTTAGTTATAATTCTACAGTTTAGCCATCATTTTTGTGGCTCATGATTAGTGGTCAGGTATATTTAACAGAAGAAGTTCTCAAGAAAGACAGTTTTTAAAAAGTATGATATATGTAGCTGTGTCAAAACTAACCTTGCTTACTTCTGTTGATACTGGTTTATTAGTCTGTTCTTACGTATAATTCTACTTACAAGCCATTCATATATACCTTATCATTTCTTCGGTAGCCTTTTCGAAAATTAAGAATTAACCTCTTGAGGATCAATTCTCCAATCTGTGGAAATTTTGAGTTGATAATTGCCACTAATGCTGCATAAACATGGGTGAAGATTGGAGACGCACTCTGTGCTTGCAGAACAGATCTGGACAGCAGTCCTCTGTTTAAAAAATAAGAAAGGAGTCAAAAGTAATCACCAAATTAATTACATGAAACAAAAACTATTAAAATTCAGTAATAGTTCTCTATAAATAATCATAAAATCGAAATTGGAACTAAATGGAAAGAGTTCATCTTACTAATAAAAATTATTTTTCAGAAAACAAAATGTGAATTTGTGATTTTGTAAAATAGAATAAAGATTTTACTGCAATTTATCTTCAAAATTTTTCTCTCTATATATAATTCCTCTTATCCCAGTCTGTTTGTTATATGTAATTATAAATTTGAGGTTAAGGTTCATATAAATAATTTGTTTAACACTTTCAAAAAAGTAAACAAAAACAGACCTGCTTCAAAAGTTAGACAACATAAAGCTTCTACTACAGGTCCATCATTTCTTTAAAATTAATTTTGTTATTAAAGACAAATTTGACTTTAAATCTTTAAGTCTAATTTTAGTAGAATAAAATGAAGATCTGGAATACTCCTATGAGAAATAAAGACACAATTAAAAGCAATGCTAGATTAATGCTAAAACAATGACAGGAAATGAAAAGGTATCTACTTGTAACTGATTTTGAAAATGGTCATGTTTTTATAGGCATTTGATGAGAAAGGGGAAAAAGGCAAATCAGGCAAACTGAAGTTATTTTTAGCAATGTAATGACAAGTAATTATTGGACTGCCAAAAGTCAGAAAAAAAGTCTCAATGGTAGGTTTAGATATGACAACTGAATCACTAGAGTAGAAAATGAGAAAAAGGATGCAGCTTATAAATTATAGTATCTTTAGCAATCCATAACTCTTCTAAGTCTACTTTTTTTCTTAAGTAAAATGGAGAGCCCTCTGCCTACTTTTAAGGATAATGGCTATCTCTTGATCAACTTTCTGTATCTCTACAACTTGCTACATCTACTTTATACCCCAACCTTTTTTGGTGAGGTTAAGTGGCTGTCTCTTGATCAACTTTCTGTACCTCTACAACTTGCTACATCTACTTTATACCCCAACCTTTTTTGGTAAGGTTAAGGAGAGACAGGGTTTCACTCTGTCACCCAGGCTGGTGTGCAGTGGCATGATCTTGGCTCACAGTAAGCTCCACCTCCCAGGCTCAAGCGATCCTCCCATCTCATCCTCTGGAGTAGCTAAGACTACTGCATGCCACCACACCCAGCTACTGTTTGTATTTTTGGTAGAGATGGGGTTTCACAATGTTGCCTAGGCTGGTCTCAAACTCCTGGACTCAACTGATCCACTTGCCTCAGGCTCCCAAAGTGCTAAGATTACAGATGTTGAACGACCATGCCTGGCTACTATACTTCCTATTTTTTAAAAGAATCATAGTCATGTAAAATGACATGAGAAAACAGCCCACAGATTTTAAAATAATAAATAGAAAATGGGGTACTTATATTTTTTGACCCTTTTAAGTATCACCAATTGCTTAAAGCCACATATTATAGAATATGGTGATTCCCTTCTGCTTTTCTGAAATTTATTGCTCATCCTTCCCATTTCTCTCACATTCTCCCTCCACTCTCATTAGAAATTAAATTGGAATAAACGCCATATATGACGAGCTCATAGCTAATAACACTCAACAGTGACAAGTTGAAAGCTTTTCCTCTAAGATAAGGAATAACAAAAGGGTGCCTACTCTTTCCAATTCCATTCAACATAGTACAGTAAGACCTAGCCAGAGCCATTAGGCAAGAGAAAGAAATAAAAGGAATCCAAATAAAAAATAGAGTAGTCTCTTTGCTGTAAATGGGATCTTAATATAGAAAATCCTGAAGACTTAGCCAAAAAAATTGTTAGAACTAATAAACTAATTCAGTAAAGGTGCAGACACAAAATCAACATACAAAAATCAGTAGTGCTTCCATATGCTTACAATGAACTATCTGAAAAAGAAATCAAGAAAATATTCCATTTATAATAGTTATGGAAAAAAGAAAACCTATGAAAGGTCTATACACCAAAAACCACAAATTACTGATGCAAAACTGGAAGAACACGCATGACATCCCATGTCCATGGATTGAAATAATAACATTAAAATGTTCATAAAACTCAAAGCAACATACAGATTCGACTCAATCTCTCAAAATTCCAATTACAGTTTTCACAGAAATAGAAAAAACAATCCTAAAACTCACATGGAACCACAAAAGACTCCAAATACACGGCAATCTTGAACAAAAAGAACAAAGCTGGAGGCATCACACTACCTGACCTAGAATCTGCTACGAAGGTTATAGTAATCCAAACAGCATGATAGTAGTATAAAAACAAGCACATAGAGCTGCAGAGAACAAATAAACCAGAGACAAATCCAGCCATTTGCAGTCAATTGATTTTCAACAAAGCGGCTAAGAAGACACAATAGGGAAAAGACAGTATCTTCAATAAATGGTGTCAGGCCACATGTTCTCACTCATAAGTAGGTGTTGAACAATGAGAACACATGAACACAGGGAGAGGAACATCACACACTGGGGTCTGTTGGGGGGTGGGGGCCTAGGGGAGGGATAGTAGGGGGTGGGGAGATTGGGGAGGGATAACATTAGGAGAAATACCTAATGTAGGTGACGGGGGTATGAAGGCAGCAAACCACATGGCATGTGTATACCTATGTAACAATCCTGCAAGATCTGCACATACACCCCAGAACTTAAAGTAAAATAAATATAAATAAATAAACTGTGTGAATATCCAGATGCAGAAAAATGAAAATAGATCTTAGTCCCACACCATATACAAACATCCACGCAAAATAGATTAAAGACTTAAACCATAAAACCTGAAACTGTGAAACTACTCTAAGTTTCTAACAGGAAGACAAGGAGGAAAAGCTCCCAGACACTGGTATTGTTAATGATTTTTTTGGATATGACCCCTAAAGCACAGGCGACAAAACAAAAAGAGACACATGGAATTACATAAAACTAGAAAGCTTCTGCACAGTACAGGAAAATATCAACAGAGTGAAGAGACAACCTACAGAATGGGAAAAAACATTTGCAAACCATGTATCTGCTAAGAGGTTAATATCCAAAATAAATTAGGAATTCAACCCAATAGTAAGAAAACAAATAACCCAATCTAAAAAATGAGCAAATGACAAAAACAGACATTTTTCAAACGATGTACAAATAGCCTATATATATATATTAAAAAAATGCTCAATATTACCAATTATCTTAAAGAAATGTAAACTAAAACCACAATGAAACATCTCACACCTGTTACAATGGCTGTAATAAAAAAGATGAAATATAACAACTTGCCAAGGAAGGACATGGAGAAAAGAGAACCCTTGTACGCTGTTGGTAGAAATGTAAATTATACAGCCATTATGCAAATAGTATAAAGGCTCCTTAAAATACTAAAACAAAACTACCAGCCAGGTGTGGTGGCTCACACCTGTCATACCAGCACTTTGGAAAGCCAAGGGGGGAGGACTACTTGAGCCCAGGAGTACAAGACTAGCCTGGGCAAGATGCCAAGACCTCATTATCTACACAATTTTTAAAAATTAGCCTGGCGTGGTGGTGACTGCTTGCAGTCCCAGCTACTCAGGATGCTGAGGTGGGAGAATTCCTTGAGCCCAGAAATTCAAGGGGGCAGTGGGCTTATGTCCATGCACTGTATTCTGGCATTGCAATAAACCAATACCCTCATCTCTAAAATTAATCAGTACCAAATTTTTTTTTCAATTATAACTACCATCTGACCCAGCAATCCCACTATTGGGTAAATATTGAAAGGAAATGATATCATTATGTTGAAGAGGTATGTGCACTTCCACATTTATTGCAGCATTATTCACAACAGTCAAAATATGTTAACAACAAAAGTGTGAATAAATGGATAAAGAAAATGTATACATACATAATGGAATACTATTCAACCATAAAGGAAATCCCATCATTTGCGAAAACACAGATGAACTTGGAGAACATTATACTAAGTGACATAAGCCAGGCACGGAAAAGCCAAATAATGCATGATCTCACTAATACGCGAAATCTAAAAAAAAAACTCAACTCATATAATCAGAGTATAAAATGATGGTTACCAGAGGCTGAGCGTTGGGGGAACTGAGATGCTGGTCAGTGGACACAAAATTTCAGTTAGACAGGAGGAGTAAGTTCCAGAGATCCATTCTACAGTATTTTGACCATAGTTAACAACCATATATTATATACTTGAAAGCTGAAAATAGAGTAGATTTTAAGTGTTCTCACCACAAAAAATGACAGGTATGAGAATGCATATGTTAAACAGCTTGATTTAGCCATTCTACAGAGTAACATATATCAAAACATCATGATGTATACCACAAACATATACAATTTTAAAAAATTAAATTAGTTTGAGGTAGTATATTTTAATATTCATTATTCCTCTTGAGTTTAAATTACTGGAGGCATTAAGTAAATGTCCACAAAAACCATTATGTTAAATCAAAGCTTCTCAAAAACCAAAAATACCATACAACCTCTAACAGCAAGGTACCAGTTATTTCTTAGCCTATATTTTTAAAAGCACTGCTTTTTAAATTTTCTCAACAACGTTTGAAATAAAGTAGCACAATAAATCTATTATTATTCATGTAGATAAATTCCTTTGAAAAAGTTACTTAGTACTACAAATAAAATAGCTGATACTTACCTTCCTCTAACTATATTTTCTTGAAGAAGCTCTTGAATTATAATACTTATATTGGAAATGTTGACTTTGTTGATAAGGCCATTAATTGACTTCTTTAGGGCCTCCCAACTCATCATCTGATATGCTAAGCTAAATAGAAGTGATTTTAATAAAGATTAACACTTTTTCAACAGTACAATAATAAGAAGCTATAAGAACATAAGTTACTTAGTATTCCTTACTTTCTAACATTATTTTCAAGAAATGACCCCCAAGTACAGTAAAATATATGATGCCTATCAGAATAAACAGATTATATCCTAAACCATATTTGATTTTCTGTACATATGCTCAAGTACACACCACTTTCCTTTAGTAACACAATATTATGTAAGTTTATATAAGAATAACATTTTGTTCTTACGCCTATGTACATTTATTAGTCAAATTCATTACATGCTTATTTTACATATAATGCTTGATTTAAACTTGTCTTTAAGGGAAACCTTTAAAATAAATGCAATTTAAAAAATTAAATTATAACATAAAATACCCAAATATAAGCCACACAAAAAATTTGTATGTCCCTTCTTATAAAAGCATGACAGAGACAAAATTAAATGTTTTAAACCACAAAGAAATGTTAACTACAGGAAAAGGGAGTCCCATGAAATCAAGGGAGTCACATGAAATCATGTTCTAAGTCTTTTAAAACAATCTCTTTGTTGATGTAGTAGTCCTACAGCTATACCAGTTGAATGCTAGACAGCTATACTGTTTTTTACTTGATTTGGGGGAAATTGTTTGGCCTCACTGAGTTTCTTTAGGTTGAATTGGATAACGTCTAAGATGTTTCAATGCTCTACAGTTCTATGGGTTTTGTAACTGCTTTTCTGTGGAATGTGATTTCAGCTTCAGGAAGTCTTAACCTTTTTTCTTCCATACACGTCTCTCTCCGCAAGTCTGGTGAAGCCAGTAGACTTTTGGGAATGATATATAAAATGAAGAGGATTAAAAAGGATACTAATCATATGGAAATTCAGTTTTTGAAACATAAAACAAAAGTTTGCCATAATATTCTATATGCTTCATAACACATTAAATAAAAAGAACTGGGAGAATGCTTAATTACTACTTAAATTTCTAAGTAGCATGGCCATAATCCATATTATGAAATACCTGTAACAGACTGTCAATACTCTGATCTATTGCCTACATTCTCAAGAGAAAAAAATTGCTAAATTTTAGAGAATAGCAAAAATAACAATCCATTTATTTCCCTAAACACATTCATGGACTGATGGTTTGAATTCTATCCATGGACCTCTTGAAGGCTTTTAGGTTAAGAATCCCTGTTCTGCAGTGGTACAACAAGGCAGGTTGGTGAGAGCAGTTCCTGATGGGAACGAGGACTGTACTACTAACACTGTTTAGAATTGCCAGCACAGTGAGGATAAAAAGCAGACTGACTTTGCAGTTAATTTTTATTTTGTTTCTAAATTCTCTATAAATTATGTACCCCTTACTGCCTGTACTCAAGGTTGACTATTCCACTGTTTCATAATTCCAACCCTTTGGTATCCCACTATCTCTAGAGAAAGAAGATATATAGCTTAACAACTAGCCTGATTAATATGACGTTGCTCATATATAATCACAACCTATCTTATTAAACTAATCAAAAAGCTACATCAGCTACAGACTTCAACTGTTTATGACATCATCTTAAAGGAATGTGCTTTAAATTGCATGTATTGCTGACTCTCTCCTGTCTGCTTTATTTAAAAGGAAGCAAGACTTGGACTGACAAAGTTGCTAGTCTTTTACAATTAGGATTGCTTTGGAATGGACGGGAGAAACTGAATAGTTTTCAGTAATGCTGCCATTACTGCCTTGTGCATAAGCAAAATGCTTACATGATAATGAAGGTCCTACTAACCACAGAGGCCATCTCTAAATTCCTTTTCAACCTAACACTTCAAATATCACTACCAAGTGCTAAAATATGACACATAGAGAAAAACTTATTGGTTTTGAATTTAATGGCATCAAATACCCCTTTCTGGTTCTTAAATTCTGTTTTAATTTATTTTAAATCTTCATAGCTTCTTTTAGATAAATGACATTTCTACTTCAAGCTAATCCTTGAAACAAATTTAGATTTAACTTATATAAGGTTCTCAAGCACTTTTCAAATTGCCATTAAAACACCCATGAAAAGATGTGGAAATATTCCTGTCTGGCTTACCTTGCATCTGTTTCTCTTAAGTTATAACTATTAATATCTTCTATCCAATCTTTTAACTAGTTACCTGACAACCGAATAAACATTTCAATCTGGGACCATACCTTCCCTAGTTATCAACTCATCTTATTAGAGAAAATGTCTCAAAAACTTAGCTGCACTTTAGTAAATAGCTCCTCACCATCCCAATTATTCTGAAAAGGGAAGGAAGAGTGTTTTGAGTGTGACTGTTTATATATAAATTTTGTTTGCCTTAGAGTAGCAAAAAAGTATAGTCTAAGATATCGGGGTCTAAAGAAAATATACAAAAAGAGAAAATTGCCAACTTCAGTTTTATAGATGAGTATAGAGGTTGGCAAACTACATCCATGAGTCAAATGCAGCTGACCACCTGCTTTTGTAAATAATGCCGTATTGGAACACAGCCACACTTAAAATTTTTTACACAATACCTACAACTGTTTTCACATTTCAATGGCAGAAATGAGTAGCAACAACAGAGACAAAATGACTCATAGATGTAAAATATTTACTATCTGGGCTTTTACAGAAAAAGTTTATTGACTCCTGGTTTACAATAGGAAAGGTCCATTTTAGAACTAAAATGCCAATACTACTCTTTCCTACAAAAAAGAGATGTTATTAGTAGGAATGCATCCATGAAATTATGAAAGGAACAATAGTTTGAAAATACTATAAAAAGGGTAAGCAATCTTTTGCTCAAACTTTTTAATTCATTCATGCAAAAAAATAAGTTATGAGCTACTATAAGGGCAAGTAAGTAGTGTGTGGCTTTCCAATGGAGCTATGAAGTAGGTCTCTAATTTGAGGTCTCTATCACTGTACACTAATGTAAATTCTCAAGAACCAGAGTTAATTAAACCATAGTTGACTTATTTTTCAATGACAATATCATGGCCTTATATACTTATTGATATTAACATGCCTGTTTTTGTCTGTAATTTGTTCTTGCATCATCCTGAGCTTTGCAGGAGGAATATATGCTCCACCAGTGCGAGTAAGAAGAGGATCCAGCTCATCTTTCTTTTTCTTTGTAGCAGGTTCATCCTGAGCAGAGGAACTCTGAGTTATTGATGCTTCCGGGTTTCTCCTCCCAGGAGATGGCGATTTCCGGGACCTTTTCCGATCCATATCTCTTTCTCTTTCTCTGCGTTTTTCTCGCTCCCTGCTTCTGTAATATTAATTTTTTTAAGAGCACAAAAGACAATATAAAATACACTCAACAATTAAGTGCACAAAAATGAGTGAAACTTAAGTGGGCCCCACAAATCCAGACTAGGAAAAGTGGTTTAGAATCACAGTGAGAAAGCACTTCCCAGAGAAAATGCAACAAACTAGGGTCCTGAAGGCTTGAAAGGATTTAGACTGGAGGCAAGTCGGGAGGAGGAAGGGGAGAAGAAGTATGGCATTCTGCAACTAGTAGATGAAGGAATAACCACTGACAGTCTGAGCAGGGGTGTTAAGGTAAGAATGAGTAGCACAGTCAGGAAACAAAGAATTATGTGTGATGGTAGTTGGAAAGATGAGTTAAAAATCTTAAAACAGGCCGGGCACAGTGGCTCACGCCTGTATTCCCAGCACTTTGGGAGGCCGAGGCGGGTGGATCACGAGGTCAAGAGATCGAGACCATCCTGGTCAACATGCTGAAACCCTGTCTCTACTAAAAATACAAAAAATTAGCTGGGCATGGTGGCGCGTGCCTGTAATCCCAGCTACTCAGGAGGCTGAGGCAGGAGAATTGGCTGAAGCCAGGAGGAGGAGGAGGTTGCGGTGAGCCAAGATCATGCCATTGCACTCCAGCCTGGGTAACAAGAGCGAAACTCTGTCTCAAAAAAAAAAAATCTTAAAACATATGCAAAAGACTTCAAGGTTTTTCTACTGGAGCTGATGGGGAATCATTAAAAGTTTGAGTAGGAGAGTGGCATGAAAAGAATGTTTTAAGAGGAAAAATTAGCCTGTGGTATACATGACAAATTGTATAAAAAAAGAAGAAACCAAGAGTTAATCTCCAATAGTGGTTACTTTAGTTATAAGACTGCTACAGAAAATATATTTGAAATTGTTTCTTGATAGAACTAATATTTTTTATTAGAAATCTCAGAATATTGGAAGCTTCTGCTTATTTGAGACAATGTAGGGGGAAATTTTTTTTCTAGCCACAATTAAGTCTTCCTTCCCAACTAACATACCTGATTATCCTTTCTTAAGACTTTTAAAACAGTCAAGGTACAGTTCTCTGAAACCATCAAGAACTAACAGGAAAAAGCAAATCCCTGCTTTTTGCAATCTTTCCCAAAAGAAAGCTTTATCCACTGAGCTGCTTTTTAAATATATTGCCGTGGAAACTCAGATTATTCTGTTCATGTTTTGGGTAACCATGAGTTATATATAATACAGTAAATAAAAGTAAGTTTCACATTATCACTGCATTACCAGGAAAAACTATGAGACAGATTTTAGCTAAATCTAAGGGGTATGTTTGAGACGGTCTTTTTAAATATATAGTAATAAAACCTACATGGAGATTGAAAAGCAGTCACCCTCCCAGGCAGCTGTGAAGGAACAGTTTTGTTTGTTTACTTTTAAGTTCAGGAGTACAAGTGCAGGTTTATTACACAGGTGAACTTGTGTCATGTGGGTTTGTTGTATAGATTATTTTATCACCCAAGTATTAAGCTTAGTACTCATTAGTTGTTTTTATTGATCCTCTTCCTCCTCCCACTCTCCACTCTCCATAAGGCCCCAGTGTGTTGTTCTCCTCCATGTGTTCATGGGTTCTCATAATTTAGCTCCCACTTAGAAACGAGAACGTGTAGTATTTGGTTTTCACTTCCTGTGTTAGTTTGTTAAGGATAATGGCCTCCAGCTCCAACCACGTCCCTGCAAAGGATATAATCTCATTCTTTTTTATGACTACATATTATTCAGTGGTGTACAAGTACCATATTTTCTTTATCTAGTCTATCACTGATGGGCATTTATGTAGATTCCACGTCTTTGCTATTGTGAATAGTGCTGCAATGAATATACACATGCATGTGTCTTTATAATAGAATTATTTATATTCTTTTGGGTATATACCCAGTAATGAGATTGTTGGGTTGAATTACAGTTTTGAAATTGAGATATAAGAGACTTAAATGACTCCTAGAGAGGACAATCAGTATACACCAAGAGTCAGCAACAGAAGGGAGAAAGAGTGATTTCAAATATAAGCCTCTGTTAGTCACAAAGGCAGATACTCTAAATTCTCTGAATTAATTTGCAACTGAGTTACTTCTTATGAATACACATGTTCCAAAAGAGTAGCTACAGAAGGAATTTCCTGACATTGGTTATGATTCTTCTGAGAAACACCAAGTAAGAGAGCTAGCTGGCTGATAAAATCAGATTCTTTTCATTAGTGTGTTTGTTCCTTTATAATGCAGAAATAACAAAATATTCTAAGAGTCAACATTTTTGGACTGTTAGCCTTTATGTTCTACGTAGTAACTAGCCTGTTTACTTCACAGTGTGACTGTGTGGATCACATGAGACTTCATTTTCATACACTAGACCTAACAGAGTTATACTGAATTAGTACAGTCAGGGATTGTGAAAAAGACATGGGCTTTGGAGTCAGAACTGGGTTCAAATTCCAGTTTTAATATCTACCAGATGTTTAAATGCAACCTCAGGTAGGTTACTTAATAAACTCAAAGCCATTTCCTTATTTGTAAACTGGAAAAAAATAGTATCTCCTTTCTAAGAGCTTTTACAGTATTTGGGAAAATATGCAAAAAAGCTTAGCTTACCAATTATGGCTATAGCAGTTGTTCTCATTAAGGTATCATTAAAGTGACAGCAGACAAGCCTGGATTTTGAAGGTTAATGTAATCTGACATTTTAGGATTAAGTATATATTAGAAAATGATGAGAAGGAAATTTTTGGCTGTAAATATCAAAGAATGTGCTTAGCTCCAAACTGCAGAGGAATTTGGTCAAAATTCCTGGGGGTTATAAAACTGGTAGTAAAGGGGTGGATAATACCCGAGAAACATCAAAAAAATTAGTGAACAATAAAACATTCGAGTCAGGTTTTGGAAACTAGATGACTAAAGAACACAAGAAAATCAGGAGAAAGCTGGTTTTATGAAAACAATGATAAAGGCAGAAAAATATGTCTTTTAAGGGACAATGAAATGGTTGTTTCAGAGACAAATCATAGTTCCTTTATCAAATACTAAAATAATGTTAGCTTTTTAAGATTAACTTGAAATACATTCAGAATCAACCGCATTGTTCAGCAACAGTTTATCTGAACTCTTACATTGTTTTCTATATAAAATGACTGCCTCTGGTTCACTGCTTTTCACTACTCAAACTGATAAAGAAACTAATACTTTAAAAGTTATCATTTTCTTAGTATCTACTATGTTCAGATATGGTAGTAGAACAGACATTATTTTTAAACCTAAACAACCAGACAAAATTCAAGTTATCATTCTCATCTTATAGATGTGGAAACTGAGGCTCAGAAGAAATTTGTTAGGAAACTACCAAATTTCAGTAACTAGTAACTAACACTTGAACTCTAATCTGCATGAATATGGAATCTCTTCTCTTTCTATTATGCAACACTGCCTCATTAAAAAGGCTAAAAAACAGACATTCCAAAGTCAATTTCAAATGACCTGGAAATTGTCTACATCACTACTTCTCTCCTAAGCAAAGATACATGCAAGTTAAGGAAATATTACCCGATAGTGACTTCTGTTTTATGTACTTGTGAGTATTCTCATCTGCAGAATTCTAGTTAACATCTCTTCCCTATATTGAGCATCTCAAGTATCTACCCACCTATTTTCTTTGGAACTACCATTACTTCCACCTGGAAATTCTCTCCCCACATGTACTAAGTAACTTTTTATTCCATTACACTTTCTCCTGAGCAAATACAGAGGCCCTGTAGTGAAGTTTTAAAGGGAATTTTTAAAACACCAACATCTTTCTAACACAGCAGTCATCCCTCATCTGTGGTTTCACTCTCTGAGGCTTCAGCTACCAGTGGTTAACCATAGTCCAAAAATAAGTGACTGCAGTTCAATAAGATATTCTGAGAGGAGACAACGTTCATGTAACTTTTATTAGAGTATATTCTTGTAACTGTTCTATTTTAGTATTACTGTTGTTAATCTTTTACTATGCCTAATTTATAAATTAAACTTTATCATAAGTATGTATTTATAGGAAAAAACATTATAGATATATACGGTTTAGGTATTATCCAGTTTCAGGCATCAACTGGGGGTCCTGGAACACATTCCCCACAGATGAGTGGGGACTAATGTATTCTCATTGTAAAAACTATTTTAATTTCTACAAAGGAGAAAAAGAATTGAAATTAAGTACAGATCAATAACAAGAGGGTTATAATAGTCTAGTTATAATAGTTCTAATAGTCTAGTGTTCAGTGAAATCTGAATGGCACTTAATGTCTGACTCTTCTTAATATTACCCCTGAGAGTTTCCAAACACTCTCATTCCAATATTTCTTGCTTTGGAGAAGAGTTTATCTGCCTTCCATTTGGTTTCCTTGCCCATTTCTCAACCAAGTAAATCTTGTAAGTCTTGTTAGCCAGAGTAACAGGTGGGTAACCAAGTTCTCTAAGGCTCAAGTAAAGTAGAAAAAAACTACAAATTGGAAACTTTAGTCTCAATGTCCCTCTGTTATTATGTAGGAAAATAAATTTAGACCACTCTATATCATACAATATAAATTTCTTTCATTTAGTAAAGAATCTCAAAAAAATCACATAAGCTGACTACTTTTGCAGTACAATATAATGAATGAGCTAGGGCTTTAGAGTCAGACAGACTTGGGCTTGGCACTATTGCATTTCAAAACATGAACAAATTACTAAACTTCTCTAGGCCTCAGTTTCTTCAGCTGTAAAGCAGACATAACAGTATCTACTTCACATATTTACTGCCATAAGAAGTTAATTCACATGAAGTCCTTATTAGAAAGCCTGGCACCTAAGAACATCCAATAAATGTTATTACTATTATTTTTGTTTTTATTATAATACAGCATAAAGAAAGTTTAAACAAATATGATTTTCTACAGTTAGAAATTCCCAGCACTAACCGTGGCTCCATGCTACTATCATAAGAATGTCCTCTTCTTGAATGCTCATAGTCTGATCTGCTGTAATCAAAGTGATCTCTATCCTGGGGGGATCGCTCTTGTTCTGCATATCTAACATAAAATAAGAAAACCAAGTTGTAAGTTAAAAATAACTGTGTTATAAATAGGAAAGTCATATATTGGTAATGATAAAGCAGCTCTACGACTGAACAACATCTTATCAAACTGTTCTTAACAGCTCATTTTGCTAACACCCCTTGTTTCAATCAGAATTACAAAAGCTTTCAGCTTGTACACAGCAAAACGACTCCTAGAATTCACCTAACAGAACTTACTTGGTTAGTGAATTATGCTGATTCATTTTGTCCTCAGTAGGAGACAAATATCTGGATATCACATACAGTTCGCATGAAAAAGGCTATCCTGCAAATGACTCCTTTTGCTTAGTTGGCTCATTTATCGAAACACTGAATTTATGAGACCACTGTCATTGGTTGGCCTCCATAGGATCTGTTTAGCTTGACACCAAAAGACCATATTCATCAGCTGTTAATCTTGAAAATGCATTACTGGACATCAATGAGAATTGGCTGAAATTATTAGCAAACAAGGACGGATAGCATTGGGTCAGTTATATGAATCTTAAAAGTGAGGGCCAGGCGTGGTGACTCATGCCTGTAATACCAGCACTTTGGGAGGCCAAGGCGGGTTGATCATGAGGTCAAGAGATCGAGACTATCCTGGCCAAAATGGTGAAACCTCATCTCTACTAAAAATACAAAAATTAGCTGGGCGTGGTGGCACTCGCCTGTAGTCCCAGCTACTTGGAAGGCTGAGGCAGGAGAATCACTTGAACCCAGGAGGCAGAGGTTGCAGTAAGCCGAGATGGCACCACTGCACTCCAGCCAGGGGACAGAGTGAGTGAAAGTCCGTCTCAAGGGAAAAAAAAAGTGAATAAAATCAAAGAATCTTAAGTTAAATATATACATAATAGATATATAGTACCATAATCTGTATTTTATATACACATCTACAATTAAGTTATACACACATATACCCATGTGTGTATGTGTCTGTGTGTAGAAAGATATATACATATCTTAATATATAGGGAGTGGCGACCGGTGAAAAGTAGTAAGTAATCATGAACCAGGGCAATTAACTTGATGTACGCAAAGCAAAGCTTTTAGAGATATTTAGCAGAGTAGAATAAGAAAGTACATATGGAGTAAGGAAGATTACACAACTGAAAGCAAGTTTGAAGGATGCTTCTTCCTTCATAAATTATTTTTAATTGGCATAAAAAATTATTTTTTACAGTCATTATATTTAATAGACCACATGCTTAATGGTCTTTCAATGATCAAAATGAAATAACTGTAGTCCTAACGTGAATTCATAATACACATTAATGGTAACATTTTTTGGAACGCTGATCTTAACATAATTATAATATGATATAATCCAGCAGTCCTCAACCTTTTTGTGGAAGACAATTTTACCACAGATGGTGAGGGGGTGGGGGGATGGTTTCAGGATGAAACTGCTCCACCTCAGGCATTAGTTAGATTCTTATAAAGAGAGCAGAACCTAGATCCCTCACATGCACAGCTCACAATAGGGTTTGTGCTCCTATGAGAATCCAACGATGCAGCTCATCTGACAGGAGGTGGAGCTCAGACCAAAATACTGGCAGGCCTGTTGCTCACCTCTTGCTGTGCGGTCTGGTCCCTGGATCTGGGGTTGGGGATCCCTGATATAATCTATATAAAAATATTTTAAAAACAATACAGAGCTATGTAAATGTAAGGGACAGTATTACCAGTAGTAAAGTAGCACTTCTAAATAGTGTCATTCCAACTCAGTTTTCCACTATATACTTTCATTCCATTAGTATTTGAGACATTAAAAATTATTCCTCTCCACATAAAAATTACATAATATCTGGAATTATTTACTAGACACTCCTAAAAGAGTCATTTAAGAATGATTCCTCCATCAAGTCCATCCAAGTAATACTGGTTATAAAACCATTAGAAAGACGTTATCCACCCTAAAATTGGAAATCTAAGAGCGAAATTATTACATAAACTTACTATAAAAACTTACATTGCATTTAGAGCATATAAAACTATTTACCTGTCTTCTGGGGAGGAGTTCCTCTGATATGAATTAAGGTTTTCCCTTCTGTCATGACCAGAAGGCTTTAAAAGAGGAAAAAGGAAAAAACATTTCAAAAATTATTTATGTTAAAAAAAAAAACAGGCTGAAATACATGTCTCAGAAAATTGGAAGTACATCAGATATTACATCAGAACATTTTTAAAATCATTAAGAAGAATTCATGTTACCTAAACAGTCTATAAGATAAAACAAAAATTTCAGACCATCCCAGATGGGCCTGTCTGTGGCAGGCACCTGTTTTCATTATGGACCAAATACTTATTTTTTCTGTTATTTTTTTTTTTAATTTCTTTTTCTTTTATTTTTTATTGCAACAGTTTTTGGGGGAACAGGTGGTATTTGGTTACATGGATAAGTTCTTTGGTACTGATTTCTGAGATTATGGTGTACCCATAACATGAATAGTGTACACTGTACCCCAACGTATAGTCTTTTATCCCTCACGACCACCCCCCACCCTCCCTGACCCTTTCCCCTGACTCCTTAAAGACAATTATATCATTGTTATGCCTTTGCTGGACCAAATATGTCTTTCTAGCCAAAAAAAATTAAAGTAGAAAAAGATAATTCTCAAATTATCAATGACATCTAGTTTATATTTTATTTCTATGTAATAGTTACAATTTTTATTTTTTACTCTTATTTTTGAGGCAGGGTCCCGCTATGTTGCCCAGGCTGGAGTGCAGTGGCACAATTATGGCTCACTGCAGACTCAATCACCCAGGCTCAAGTGATCCTCTCGCCTTGATACTGTACTTACCTCATCTCTCCATTGGCTTATGAAAACCACAACTTTAGTACAGGGTAAAATAAACAGCTGGAAAAAACTGACTCTAACATGTTTATAAAAATTCATTTTTGTTTTCAACAAACATCATTTGAGTGTCTGATATATTATACTACGGTAGGCACTACAGAATCAAACAACGTTACTTTTAAGGTATAAGTCCTACTCAAATTCTTTGAAAAACAATCAGGATACATATAAGTAACTTCATGTAACACGAGACTGACATGAGACAGAGATATGAACCATCCAGTTTGGGACTATAACCTAATTTAAAAATCTAAATACATTAAGGAACCAAAATGTTTACCTCTGCGTATAGGTAAAATTTGTTATATAACTGGTTTACATTCAAATATTAACAAGCCTTTTTTTTAAGAATTAAAATAATATTAATTAACGATATTGAAAAGAAAATAGCATTTAGCATACCTTAATCTTGAAATCTAAGATAAACTAAATCAAACAACGAGTAAATGTTCTACAAACTTGCATGCTTGCCTCCTTAATGAAAAAAATACGTATTTTAAAATAGAAAATTGTTCTGAGTAGAAATGTAAGATCCAACTTCCTCTGATTTTATGACTGTCTAATTAACAGCAGTTTGAGTCTAACATGATCACAAGTATACTGCAAAACAGTTTCATTAAATATTGAACCTTTTGAACAGTATTCACTAACTAATCCACATAGATGAATAAGCATGTAATCAAAATTGATAATTTAAAGTAACTGTAGTTTAGCTGTTACTTTGCACTAAATTCAAGCATCTTAAAATTCTGTTTCTAATATAAGAAAGTTTTAAAAATTATTTCACTTAGTAACAGTGAAATAGAATTGTTCAATGTATAAGATACAGGTTTCTATAAAACTTCACATAAAGATCTTAGATCAGACACAGAGCACAAGATTCACTCAATTCAATGGTAACATAAAATACAATATTTATATGATCATGTATTGTAAGACATAGTCCTTCCAGTGTAGACATTCTGAAGGATACAATAGATAAGAAAGGTCAAGGAGCTTATGATCTTGTAGGAGAGGCTTATAAAGATTTCCACAATTAAACACATTAGACTGTAAGTTCCCAAGAATGAGAGAAAGTAGAGAGAGAGGGAGAGAAAGAGAGAGAGAACAGGAGGAGGAAGAAGGGGAGGAGGGGAGAATACAGGGGAGGAGACAGAGAACAATAAAACTGCATGACCTCCTTTCTCTTTACAAGGCAAAGAAATTATTTTGATTACATTAAGGAGAAGGCCTCATTTCTGTGCTAATGATTTTTAACATCTGTTGTGAGCAAGAGGAAGAGACCAAAAATATTGAAGTCGTGAATAAGAAAGATTTCATAAACATGATCAAATAACAAGTGACTGGCACACATAGTAAGTGCTAACAGGAGATCTTGAGTAGGAAATAATCACTGTGGCACAGGGTGCTAAAGGATGAAAGTGGGAAAATGGGGCTTGAATTTGGCTTTGGTAGATGAATAGAATTTCACCGAGTTAAAAATTACTTTTGGGTATGATTCAAATAATAAGAACCCGAATTTCCCTATTTCTTTTATCACAGACTTTAGATTGTAAGCCAGTACAGTAGCTGAAAATACTATACAGTCAGAATTACCTTTAAAATTTTTCTAAACTGTTCATGAAGTAGAACAAATATGATGATATCATGCAATCAATCATAGTCTACAACAACACAGAGACAGCATTATGAGGAGACAAGGGAAACAAGAAGCGTGAATCCAGAGGCTTTCAGGATCCACTAGACTTGAAGAGAAGGAGGGAGGAAAGGCTGGAAGAGGTGGGGAGCTTGCTAAGGAAGCTACCATAAAGTTCAAGGGACAAACAGGGGATTCTCAGTTGAAGCATTATGAACCTAACATGTGAGTCCTCAGAACATCAGTGAAAGAGCTGAGTGTCACCTAAAGTAAGAATGAGCATCAACCCAGCTAGTGCACCTGTTGTGGCTAACAGAAAGGAGAGAAATGGAAGCAGACCAAAGAGAGTTGGCTGGGAAAGCCAAGCCACTAAGTGTGAAGGGCATGCTAAATGAAGTCACTCACTCCCAGGCTGCGGGGGAAAACGCCACAGGAGACCCATCAGGACCAAATGAGGGAAGCATGGAGAAGCAGAGGCTAAGAGGAACTGAAAGAGGATTCTGAGAAAGGCTATACATTTCTCCCTTTGAGTGAAAGGCCTTAATCTAAAGATCTGAGTGCTCTTGTCTAACACGGCTCTGTCAAGAGCCAGTTTTGCACAAGGTCTCCTTTCTTTTATTATGACCCTGGCTCCTAACACAGAATCTGCCCCCTACTGGGACTTAACAAATTAACTGTTTAAGTAACAATGGACCAATGAGTACAAGTCACAAAAGGGCTGATTTAAGAACAATATACAAGGGTTACTGACAGATGGAATTACCTTAAGAAACTGTGAGCCCCATGCCAAAAGAGATACACACCAAGCAGAGGCTGGATGTCTAACTACCAGAGAGGTGGGTGAGTGTCTTCTCACACTTGACAGAGGCTGGAAAAGATGGCAGCAGCGGCTGTCTTACTCTACAAGTTTATCAGTTCAGCTTAATAAGCCCCTACCACAGAGCTTACTGTCAAGGAGCTTGCAATCTACTGCTTCTCTTTAAAGAAAAAACTTTAGGGTTACACAGCTGGTAAAGGAGAGGGAGGAGTGCCTACAGTTATAATCAAATAAAAATACAGTTCCCCCTTTATTGACTCCATGGCCCAAAAAGTGATGGCTTGGTTGTAAATCCATGCAGTTGAACAGAAAAGGAAGTTGAGTAGTTTGCTCACCTGACAAGTTCACTCACAGGCAAAACAATTTTGAAAGCAGAGGGAATTACTGGTCCCTGTTACTGCCCTGACCTCACCTCCTATAATCCTCCCCTTCTGATACCTGCCCCACTCACTCGAGATTCTTTGCCTTGGCATTTGCTGTTCCTGCCAAGCACACTCTTTCCCCAGATATCGGCATAGTTAACTCTCACATCTTCAAGTCTCTACTCAAATGGGTATCTTTTCAATGGGCTCTACTAACCCCTCTATTAAAAACTGCAACCCCTCAATGTTGAAGCCCCCTACCCAAATTCTATTTCTTTAATTCTATTTCTTTTCTCCATAGCACAAGTCTATTACTTAACATTCTAACATAATATATAACTTACTTATGTTGAAGCCCCCTACCCGAATTCTATTTCTTTTCTCCATAGCACAAGTCTATTACTTAACATTCTAACATAATATATAACTTACTTATCAAGTTTATAATTTAGTCTCCTCCCCACAACAACTATAATGTAAACTCCAAACAAGGATTTGTTTTATTCACTACTTTGTTCAAAGTTCTCATAACAATCATTAGAACTCAATATGCATTTGTTGAATAAATGAACATACACTATCTAAAGTACAGCACAGAATAAAGAGCCCATCTATTCATAAGAAATATGCAACAAAAGGCTCACATTATAAACAGATAGGCAGAAATTTCCCTGCTCTGTTTGATCACTCACATGATTTATGCAGGCACTGATGCATGCACGTGTACACACACACACACACACACACACACACACCCCTGCATGTTCTCTCAACTGCCCTCTTGCACACTATTGCTTCCATATAGCTAAGAATCTACATTTAAAGTTTAAGTTGGATGTATTAGGTTGGTGCAAAAGTAATTGCGGTTTTTAAAACTGCGAAAACTGCAATTACTTTTGCACCAAGCTAAGTACCACCCTACTGTCTGGCTCTACTGTCCTAATTACGTAAATGCATTTATATTTAAAGAATAGGTAATCGACTATAAGCTTACATCCTCTATTTTAAGTTTTGAACACTTACTTTTATCTGTGCCACACTACTTTTCATTTCTGTTGCTGTTGGTCCAATAAATCAAAGACTCCTCCAACTGGTTCAAATAGCAAGTCCCCAACGCTCTGAATTCCTTGACAGTTTACTTTTTCTGTCTGCAAATATCACCTATAAAATATACCAAAGAAAGCTCTGTTAACACCAATGAAGTGTGTAAAATGATGACATTTCTTCTACACAATGGGCATTTAACCCTCTTATTTGTCTTAATCTATAAACAAATACAACAACTAAATAAAAATTTTAAAAATCCTTAAGTAGTTACACATAATAATGTATACCTAACATATACTGGCAGAAAAAAAAAATCCGTGAACGAGAGAACAAGCAGAAGGTTATATTCTAAGGACGAAGAGGAACAAAAGTTAATTTAAAAAGAGATGTCCTATAACTTTTTTATTAAAAATGCTCTCACAGTGAGGGAGATATACACCTACATCATAAGATAGTATTGGGATATTATTTTTAAAAAATTGAGAAATCAATGATAGAAGAGAAACTATATAAACTCAGTATAAAAATCCAATGTTTTTATATAGACTAAGAATGAAATGCCCTATATCCTTGCAATAATAATCATTAAGAAATAAACATAATCCACATAGAAACTGAAGGTGCTAAACTACAATAATTATGTTTCAATGTGAACCATTAATGGCACAAGGCTTCAGATATATACACATGAGATATGAGAACTAAATATCTGGCTCAGAATAACCTAGTCATCAGCATTAAACCTAAAATCTTTAGTTATCTTTTAATATTCTCCTAAGTAAATTTTAGTAATTTCTGCAAGGTGTTAAATTGATACTTATGTTCACAAAGAACTTCCATTTGAGTATTTTATTGGAAGTACATATCTCTATGGTTTATAGTTTAAGGCAATAAAATTCCAAAAATAAAATAGAAAAAAAAACATAAAAGGATTAAAACACATAGAGACTGCAGAGAAAGCAATGTACTTAGTACCAAAATAACTGAATACAAGTAGAAAAAAAATTAATTTCAGTGTTAGAAAGGGTATAACAGATTATCTGGTCCAATTCCTTCCTTTTAAAGAGAACACTGAAAGCCAGATAAGCTATTCCAATTATAAATTATAATACCAGTTAGACTTACAACTAGAAACCTATCATAAGGACACCCTGTTAAGTATTCCTCTCACTAGAACACATACAGAAATAGTCTTTACACTACAAAGTGATACAGAGCTGCTATCATTTGATGCAGCCAGGGATGTTTACAAATTACTAAGTCAAGTAAGGTTTCTAGTACAATGGTTGGCATGGTGTCAAGGTTAAAGGCAAACTTACCAATCTATAAAATATAACTACAATCTAAAGCACATCACTGCTTATGTATGAAGCCTACAGTTAAGTAAACAAATGTGTGTAACTTTACATAATATGCTGATCAACAGGCTCTTTCTTCAATTAGTTATTATTGCAGTAGTTTGGAAAGCTCAGCCTTGTTTTTAGCTGGCAAGTTCTCCCCAAATCTTTCCTTTATACAAAGTTTTAAAGATTACTCTGGTCCTAAACCTAATGCCATACAACAGACCAGTCTATCTAGGACCTTACCAGGCCCACAACTATGATATTATTGTTTGAACTCAGTTTCAGAGGAACTTTTCCTACTGGATGCTATACCTTAGATAAATAATTGAGAAAATCCAGAATAAGTTGTGTAAAACATTTCATAAAATCAGACTCTGACAGTAGCAGAGAGGAAAGGCATGCCCCTCTACCTTAAACAGTCTATTCTGATATCACGCAAGAGTTACTATCTTAATAACTCTATATTATCCAAAGCAAAATAATAAATGTGTCTCAAAGGGGAAAGAGAGGTTAGAGACTAGAAAGTTTCATACATATAATAATTACACTATTTTCCTGTAAGAACTTAAATAACAAGGGTGTTTTGGTTCCCAGTGCAACTGGGTAGCCTGTGAGGCACCCCTGAACAAATTTTTTAAAAGGGTAACTGAACTTCCACTTCTGAAATGGCTAGAAAGTTCCTACTGAACCCAATCCTTTCACAGACAACAACCATAAACTCTTGACAAAACACACAACAACCACCTGAAGGCACTGGAGAATCAACAAAAACAGGCTGAGTCTAAGGAGAGTAGATGCCCTGGAGAAAGGAGCAACCTGAGTGAGTTATCCCATTTAATGCAGCCTTAGTCTGAAGGCAAGCTGCAGTCTGTACCATGCAAGGGTGGCTAAAACTGATGAAAAGCTGCTGCCATTCTCATTTGAAGAACAGGAGGACAGAGTCTTAGGCAACCACAGCTGCTGGAAACTGAGGGGGAATCCAGGAGGGGAGAGAGTGAGTGAAGGGAAACCCCATATGCTGGGTATAAATTGTTCCCACATCTCTAACTACCTCTGAACCAACACACATACAAGACAGATTCCTGCCAACTGAACTAAGATTTGAACTGCTGCTCAAGAGACTAGAGTTTGCAATTTAAGTCCAACCAAGTTAACTGCCTAAAAAGTCACCACTCCTTAGAGGAATGTAAGGAAACCAAAGTCTCTGTAACATAAAAATAACAACAACCAGGAGACAATTAAAAATAACATTTAAAAATTGTGGTCCAATCTTAAGGGAAAACATAATCAAAACAGATCAATGCTGAGATGACCCAGATCCTGGAATGAGCATGTAAGATTTTTAAAGCATGGTTTTTAAAACATATGGAAAAATGCAAAGGAAAATATGCCTGGGAAATTTCAGCCAAGAGAAATGATAAAATAGAACCAAACAGAAATTCTAAAACTGAAAAATACATAAAATAAAAAATTCACTGAGTATGCTCAACAGTAGAATGATTAATGGTTAATAATAAAACTAATGAAAGCCAAAGATAAAGAGAAAAATCCTGAGAGCAGCAAAAGAAAAAAACAGCATATTATATACAGAAAATAACAATTCAAACTACTGCTGACTTCTCATCAGAAACTAAATAGACCATGTTCTCACACATATGCAGAAGCTAAAAAAGTGGATCTCATGAAGATAAAGTAGACTGGTGGTTATCAGAGGCCAGAAACAGGAGTGGGATGTAGAGGATGAAGGGAAAAAAGGAACACAAATGTATGTATTACCACTGAATTGTACACTTAAACATGGTAAGGATAGTAAATTATATATATAAATTATATATATAAATTTTTAAAATTCATATATGTATATATTTTTTAATTCATATATGTATATATATAAATTTTTTAAATTCATATATGTATATATATATATAAACTTGAAAAAGAAACTATAGAGACTGGAAAATGGTGAAACAATTTTTAAAAGTGTTAAAAGATAAAAACCAGCAAAAACAATCTTTAAAGAAAGAAGGAAGACATTTACTGATTAAACAAACAAAATAACTAAGAGAAATTAAGATAATTTATCACCAGCAGACCTGCACTAGGAAACAAAACAAACAAAACAAAACAAAACAAAAACGCTAAAATAAGTTCTTCAAGCTAAAGGGAAATGAAACTAGATGGAAACTTTTTCAGAAAGAAATGAAGAATACTGGAAATGACGAAAGACTTTCTCCGGAAATACGAAAGACTTTGTTTTATTTTAATTTATCTAAAATACATAGGACTCTTACAGCAAAAAAATATGTCTTGAGGGATTATAATATATGTAGCTGGAGTGTGTATATATATATATGGTATATAGAATTAGCAGTCAAAATGGAGCTACACTATGCAAGGTTTCTACATCTTTTGTGAGGTGATACAATATTGACTCTAAGTACATGACAAGTTAAGGATATATATACTGTTCCCTACAGTAATGACTAAAAAAAAATGTACAAAGTATAGTGTAAAAGCCTACAAGTTAAAATAGAATTTTAAAAAATATTTAAAACAGAAGCTACCCCTCTCTCACCTCAGGATGAGAACTCTATAGGGATAAAACCGTTAGCTGGATTCAACAAGCTGACTCTGTTGAAACCAAATTGCATGACTCTTTCCAAAGGTCCTGCTTTTATGGCTATAAAGGTATAGAGAGCCATAAAATTCAAAACTTTACTCAACTTACTTTTGCTCAAAGATATTGGTATTTTTTCCCTACCTCTGCTAGCACAACCATTTATCATTTCTAATATATCCTTTATTACCTTTAAACCCAGTATTATGCATACATACATCTGTTCCCCAACAAATAATACAGCACTTCCATTATTTGCCCAGCATCTTTCTAGGCATTGGATAGGCAACAATGAACTACCCTAACAAAATCTCCTATTCACATGAAGTTTACATTCCAGGTATAAAGCAAATCTATAATAAGGAAAACACTAAGCCACTCAAACAAGGTGACAGGTTGGGCTTTTTTCCTACATGTCAGTTATTTTTTTTTTTTTTTTTTTTTGAGACAGAGTTTCGCTCTTGTGACCCAGGCTGGAGTGCAATGGCGCAATCTCGGCTCACCGCAACCTCCGCCTCCTGGGTTCAGGCAATTCTCCTGCCTCAGCCTCCCGAGTAGCTAGGATTACAGGCACGCGCCACTGTGCCCAGCTAATTTTTTGTATTTTTAGTAGAGACGGGGTCTCACCATGTTGACCAAGATGGTCTGGAGCTCTCGACCTCATGATCCACCCGCCTTGGCCTCCCAAAGTGCTGGGATTACAGGCTTGAGCCACCGCGCCCGGCCTACATATCAGTTTTAAATCACTACTTAACAGTGTATAACTATAGTTTGATATCACTATATTAAAAACAACCTGAATCATGGACACATGCATGAGAGGAGAATTACTTCTACATATATTGGGGCCCACCTCGGACTTACTGAATCAGAAAATGGGCAGAAAGTGTAAGGAAAAGACCTGTGCATACTTGCTTTCTGAAAGTATTCCCAAGGTAATTCTAAAATCCAGCTTTTCCCTGAGTCTCCTCAGCTTTTCAATTCTACATAAGAGACTTTGGTTCTTAATTTGTTCTCAAATCATGAACCACTTAGCCAGAATATGGAGACCCCACAGCCTACCTACTTTACAGTGAAGAACTTAGTCGTAAATCAATTGGAAAGGGACACAGAAATTCCAAATGTATTAATGCTTAATAATTCACAGGTAAGAA